GGACAGGGGTCCGTGCAGATGCGCGCAGGCGTGCCTGGTTGAAGTACGAAGTATCGTTACATGTGCTCCGTCTATCCAGGGGTCGGTCATCTCATGGCGGCCATTCAGCCAGACTGGCGGTGATGAGGGTCGTCCGAAGGTTGAACCCTCACGGCAGCTGCAGCAGACCGCCACTCAGCATGGCTCTCGTATAAAGAATCGCCGAAGCCTTCGCTACGATGAAGAGCGGTTTCAGGTGCCCGAACGCCTGACGTGCAAGTTGGGATACAGGTCGATGTTGACGCTTCTGGTGGCGAATGTTGCTTCCTCCGGGACGGCGAGTCGTGGCGTCTCTGCGCAATGATGATTCGAAGACTGGAGCCGGCACCATATTGAGCGTTGCTGATGTTAGCTTGCAGGTCCAAGTGTCGGGTACGAGTAAGCATGCCTTGGCCATGTTGTCTGCACTCTACTTGGTACCGGACCTTTGCGTGCCTGCAAGGTAAGATCGCCGTCTTACTGTCGCTTTTTACAACTGCTGTTCTCCTGTGGCTGCAGCTCCCGCTCCGTCAACCCACAGCGGCTCTAGTCAGCTCTCAGGAAGCGTGGGATGGATCAACCGGGAAGCTGACAAAGGCCACCTGCAAGTTCGTTTGGCTGAGAGCAGTATAACTTTGTACGAGTTACGACCTCGAACTTTGGAGAGGCTATCGCCAAACCAAATCGCCGGCTCACGCCTCTCAGAGTGAGCGACAGAAATGCTTCGTCTACGACTACCTGAAGGGCCAAGAAGCTGGCTTGCGCTATTGCAACCAAAAAAAGCAACAGAACCGCCACCTCGGTAGAAAGCTTCTCTAGTATTTCATGTTGGTCGTCCAGTCCTTGGAGTGGCACAAGACCGGGTACGGCTAGCGAATGGGTCTGGCGGCTGCTCCGTATTTACATACAATGAAGTTGGTACCCGTGAGGATACAGCCCAAACGCTGATAGTGTCCAGACAGATGTTACCCCATACTCTGGGGTTCAATCCCCATCTGAAGCTGTTTGTATGGTGCATCGTGATATTGCCTTGAGACATGGCAAAGTGGTCTCTCTCCTTGGTGTGCTTGTCCTGTCCTGACATCATGCAGACTCGTTGTACGTGCACGTCTTCTTGCGTGTCTTGGTACCTGATCGACCGTCCATCACTTGGAGCCTCAAGCAGCGCATCATCAACAGCACATGCAAGCAGCTACAGACTTCCGCAGGGCGAGAAAGGGGCCGAACGATTCACCCCCTTTTCGCATCGCTCTGGTGCACCAAGGTCGACCGGACAAGTGCCGTTCTTCCAGACTCGCACATGTGCTAGCAGAGTCAGCGGCAGCATCTCTGGACGCCAAGTACACGATGCCAACAGCAGCGCTGGCGGCACAGTATGAGGTCGGTGGGCGGCGTGGCAGGATGCGCGCTTATCCTCCCACAGGCACACGCCCCCCCTCAGTCGCTCAAGTACCGTGAAACGGAGAGTGAGAGAAGCACAGGAAACGGGCACGAACCCGCACACGTTGTCGTGCTCCGTCTCGGGCCAGCGGCCTCACCGTTTCAAAGATACGTACCGCGTTGGGTGCGCGGGAATGTGTGGAAGCGCGACAAGCCCGCGTTCGAGCTAGCACTTTGCAAATTACACGTACGTACCTTACTGCATGCCGCACAGTGCCAGGACCAGCTCTCCCTTGGAAGAGATCGTGAGACGCCCCTCGCGTACGGTATGCAGACGGCCAGCGAATACTGTAGCCTGTGTTGGTTAGCCGGACGAGAAAAGAAAATGTCCCTGGTTCGCGAGGCGGGTCCGGGGGAGGCTTCCGGGACGTCGAGGCTTGGGAGGCTGGCCGCTCCGGGCACCAGCTCCACGGACTCGCTGACAGGGGGGGGTTGGTACTCGTACTTCTCTCTCAGGAAGACCGTTGATGGACGAGGTGGACGAGTGAAAAGAAGTACCTTTTCTTCGGTTCCGAGGGCGAGGGCTGGCCCTCCGGTTGCTTTTCTTCCTTCCCCCCTGGAAATAGATTGGCAACATCCACTTTCTAGAATTCGTGAACCTTTTTGTTGGCCGCGGGATCTCTTTTCTTTTCTCTTCTTCTTCCCTTTTTTTTTTTCTTTTCTTTTTTTGTTTTTGGTTTTGGAAAATCCACCTTCTTTGTTCTGGTGCGTTGTTGTTACTGGTTTCCTCCATGTGCCTTGGGATAGTACAAGGGGCATTCTATCTGGAACAAGGCACCTTTCCACATTCGTGAATCTAAGAGGATATCCTGTGTTCAAGGCTCGTCAGCCCTCTTGGCGTTCGGCGGACTCCTCCGTGGTTGTCTATAGTAGTGCATGTCTGTTAGTTCGCTGCCCCCCGTCGTCATTATCGGCTCTTGATGAGTTGGTTGCTGTGCTGTGTTGGCGGCTCGTTGCCTTGTGGATGAAGCCGGCTTTTAGTGTTGATTTTGTATTCATGCGCTGGGGAAAGACGGCTTCTGCCAAGGTCTAAAGAGGCGGTATGGGTATGTCAAGACTGACGAGGGGAAGAGCCTTGGGAAGCATTTTGCAGCAAGAGGCGGGTGTTTGGGAGACTTGGTATACGGAGGTAAACGTGTTGATGCCGAGCTCTCGGCATATGTGCTTGTAAAGTAGGTTTCCAACTCAGCTAGTTGGACGGTTTGCGGTGATCTTCTTCCTCCAGTATGCTGAGGGAGATTAGCAGTCGTTGTATGGCTACCGAGTTTCGTGGCTGTACCGCTCGTATGCCGTCGCTCCGAGATTGGAGGGTTGAGGACCTTTTTAACTCGCAAGGTACAATAGTAGCTAGACGTCAGATTTGTATGAGACGGTCTATATGGTTTGCTGAGAGGGCCAACGACTGACTTGTCAAGTCATCCAGAGGTGCACGTATTGCACAAAGCTTTGCGTTGCAACAGAATCGTCCAGTGTTCTGTATCCGGGTACGTGGATTTTTCTTGAAGGGGGGCCAGACGTGGGGTGTTGCCGGACAAGGAATCATCATCGTATCATGGAAAGAAAGCAAATGACGGCACGAGCTGGGGAGATTGGAGGAGGACGAGACGAGAGCCCTCATATTATTCGTATTTCAAGAGATGATGACTGAAAGACGGGATGAAGAGAGAGATGATGAGATGAGGATCAGGGAATACATACCAATCAAGCGTTCTTCCATAAGGTACTTGCCAATGGAGTCAATTGACTTGCTTTGACAGCCCTGGAAGTGCCTCATGTTGTAGTTGTATATGGAGGACGCAGGATGGGGATGAGGCACAGGCACAGGCAGGCAACTGCCTGTGCGTCCTCGGAGTTGATCCTGTAACCATGTTTGGACGTTGGGATGCTTGTCTGGATGCCTGCAGACGCTTTCAAGTGTCTTGTGTCCTTGGTAGGCCAGTCAGTCTCGTCTCGCTGTTTCCCCCCCTAGATTCGAGATACTATCTAGTAGATACTCCATAGGTACTAGTAGTATCGTCGCTTGTTCGATCCGCTGTAGACCACTTCCAGTCCCCGGCCATGGACAGGCTCCGTTTGCCCTGGTAACGAGCGCCGTGGGGTCGATTCAAGTTGACGGATGCGGTTCTTCTCAGACAGTTGGAGATGCGTGCTAACCACGCGCAAGGTGCCGGGACGGCTTGAAGGGCTCAGGAGGTGCCAGCAGGCGTTCTGTCAATTGAAGGCATCGCTTCAACCTGTTAGCGGACAGACCAGCAGTTTCCGAGCCACAGGTACCGGGTACGCTCCTATATGGCCTGCCGCCCGTGGCTGCACCGAGTAGGCTGTACCTGGCCGCGTGGATATGGCGCCAAAGGAGGCATGGCGGATGGGGCGTTTCGTCTCATTTCGGCTTGTACGTACAGGTACCCAATCAAGGGCCTGATGTCGCGCGTTGCCTCGCGTTTGGCCTGTCCTGGAGGAGCAGCGCTTCCATGTGCGGGCATGTTCATGTTTGGCTGACGGGCGATCGACGGCATGCTTCAGGTGCATCCAGCGGACCCAGCAGCGCCTCGGGGTCCTGCTGCTGCTGCTGTGGTGCATGGCATGAGATGGATTTGTTGCTGTTCGATTTCACTGGTGTTTAGGTAAGGTACTGCAGACGCAAACAGCGACACGATGTTCAAGTGTCAAGGCGGTTGAGTTCTCACGTCAAGCAAGCAAGTACCTCTACTACCTCGAGACTGGACCCTGCGCAGGTCACCTTGGCAGAAACTGAAATAATGCAACAATAATAGCAGCCGCTGCCGGAATGGATTCATTGTCGAGGTGGAGATTGAAAGGATCAATGCCCGCCCACTAGCAGCCCAGCCCAGCACATGGATTCGAGATGGGGCGCCAGATACAGCGGTCCAGCGCGCTGCGTCTCGCCTGGAGCCCCCCCTCCACTCCCCCAACCGCCAGCAGCCAATAGCCTGGAACGGGCCTAGCAGCAAGCGTCTGGGTGCCCTTTCTGCAGCGAGGCCACGCCCCCCAATTGCCCGCCACCCGAAACTCCAGTCGACGATAGCCTCCCCTTTCCTGCCCTCACTCCAGTCTCCAACTCTGCCTCTGTCCTTTCTCTGCCTCTGCGCTCGACCAACATCCTGCAGCGCTTCACGCCTTGCGCATTGGTGGCATGCTCATTGAGACTGCTATCCGCCCAGCGCGCGCCGTCCTCGGCTTGCACCAAGGCTGACTCGCGGACCATGCCCTGCGCTGATTTCGACTCTGACTCTATCGCCATCTCACCCTGAACCGAAATCCGACCCTTCGAACCACCGCCGCTGGCACAGATCCTCCTCGGCCTCGAGCGCAATCGCCCTCCCACGAGCCTCGATCGACGACTTTCCCGTCCCGGGACACTTGCGTCCAGGCCCTTTGTCGACCGGCCCCTCTCTCTCCATCTCCGTCTCTACCTATCCTTTGCTTCTCTATCCTTTTTCTCTCTACCGTCTCTCTGACCCCAAACTTCTCCTTTCGCCGCCCCTCCTTCTATTCCCCCACACCACGCGCGCGCCGAAGCCATGGACGGCGTCGTGGGAACTGCGCCGCCCGGCAGCATGTATGTCCGTGCCCTCTACGACTACGAGGCCGACGACAGGACCAGCCTGAGCTTCCACGAGGGCGATGTCATCCAGGTCATCACCCAGCTCGAGAGCGGCTGGTGGGACGGCGTGATCAATGGGGTGCGCGGCTGGTTTCCCAGCAATTACTGCCAGGCCATCACCAGCCCCGACGAGTTTCCCGAGGCTGGCCAGAACGGCCTCATCACCCATCACATCGACGACGACGCCGACGAACACGACATCTACGACGACAGCGCCGACCAGGATGAGGATTCCGAAAGCGAAGCCTTTGGCAGCCTGCCCCTCGAGGGCACCGACATGGGCGACAAGTCTCGCGCCGACTTCTGGATCCCGCAGGCCACCCCCGACGGCCGCCTCTTCTACTACAACATGATGACGGGCGACCGCAGCATGGAGCTGCCGCTCGAGTCTCCCGGTTCCTCAGCCGAGACGGGCCCCAGGGACCGCATGAACGTTGCCATGCCCGAAAAGACGCGACCGCCGCCGGAAATGATGGCCCGCGGGCTGACCCAGGACGAAGACGACGACTCGGCCACTTCCGCCTCCGAGGCCGAAGGCGAATCCCTGATGCACGCGTCCAGAGGCTCCATGGTAAGGAAACATACATGACAAGAAACCAGATGCGCGGTTTCACACCCGTTGATTGAGTAATAGTACTAACCACATCTCAAGCCTCGCACTCGGGGTTCCTTCAGTGCCGTCCTCTCGCCATCAACGTCAATGGACTCGATGAACGGCACCTCTCCCGGCCGGCGGAAGAGGAGCGATGCGTACGCCCTCGGATTCGCCAACAGCTCACAGCCGCCAAACATCGCATCGGCGACATCCTTCACGAGCACCACGTACAACGTCCCGCCTACCACCAGCGTGCCCAAATCCTTCTTCGACGACGGCTCGACGCCGCCCCTCACCTGGAGTCTCCTCGTCACCAACATGAAGCGCGCCATCGACCGATATCGCGAAGCCGTCACCAACAACGCCCGCTCCGAGTACGTCGCCAGAGCCGAAGACATCTCCGACCACCTCAGACTGCTTCTTGCCGCTGGCTCAGGGACAACGGATAACCACTCTGGCCAGCCTTCCATCATCTCCACCAACAAGGCGCTCTACCCGCATTTCCGGGACATGATGTCCAAGTTCTCGAAGCTGGTGATTTCTTCCCACATTGCGGCCGCCGACTGGCCCAACGCCGAATCCGTGCAAAAGTGTCTTCAAGAGGCCGACGGCGTCCTGCTTGGCGTCTTCAGCTATGTCGAGGTTGCCAGGCAGCAGAGAGGGGAGGACATCCCACGATTGTTCCCCGGCTTCGTCATTGGTAGCACCTCTGGTGGAAGCTGGCAGAGCAACGGGCTGGATTACCACGACCTGATGTCTCCCAACTTCCTCGACGACGAAGAGGGCGCGTCCGAGCCCACGGCAATCCTTGATGGCAACCTGCTTGAGAGGCTGGACGAGCACAAGAGAATGCTGGTGTCGAGCATTCGCGAGCTAGAGAAGAACCTGACGACCCCCGAGAAGATCATCACGCCCCAGCGCCATGAGGCCATTGCCAACAACATTTGCTTTGCCGGCGGAAAGGTGGTCGAGATGTTCAGGCCGTGGATCGCCATGATTGAGTCTGTCGACCTGTCCTCTCTGGGCAACACCTTCCAGACGCCGCAGCTGGAGGACTTTAGCATCAACAAGCAATCGCTCTACGACAACATTGCGGACCTCATTCTCAGCTGCCAGGCTGTTGCTGGACCCTTGGCGGACGAGTGGTCAGAGGTGCGAGGGGAGCCCCTCGAGAGCCGGCTCGACTATGTGCGCCAATGCGCGAGAGCGCTCGAGACAAACTCGTCACACACCGGCTTCTCATTGCAGCTGCTCTCGGAGCAGGTCCTCATCAACATGCAGCAGCAGCAACAGCAGGCAGGTCGCCGACCGCAAAGGGGCCCGCTGCAGCGAGGCGAGACGATGCCGTACGAGAGGCCGCACCAACGGTCAGACTCGAGGACGGCACCGGTTCGGCCTCCGCTCATCACCACGCAATCGTACTCCGAAGGCGATGCCCCTCCCGGATTCTCCAGAAAGGGCGACTATTCCAAGGTCAAGAAGATCTTTGGAGAAGACCCGTCGCCACAGCTTCAGCCCGATGAGGATACGCCCGAGTTCCTGCTCCTGGACCACGAACACGATCTCTCATGGGATGCAAAGGCAACCACGCCCACGGTAAAGGGAGGATCCCTCCTCGCGCTCGTGGAGCAGCTCACGCGCCACGATAAGCTTGACTCGAGTTTTAACAACACCTTCCTCTTGACTTATCGATCCTTCACAACGGCGCGCGAACTGTTTGAGCTGCTGGTGCAGCGGTTCGGGATCCAACCCCCCGAGGGGCTCTCGCAGTCGGACTATGAGCTGTGGCGGGACCGCAAGCAGAAGCTCATCCGGTTCAGAGTCGTCAACATTCTCAAGAGTTGGTTTGACAGCTTCTGGATGGAGGACTTCAACGACGAGTCCAAGCAGCTGATCCGCGACGTGTACACGTTTGCGAGAGACACGGTCAAGTCGACCGAGACCCCAGGCTCGGGGCCGCTGATGGCCATCCTGGACCAGAGGCTCAGCGGCAAGGAAGCCGGGGCCAGGCGCATGATCCAGACGCTCAACCAGAGCACCCCGACGCCCATTGTTCCCAAGAACATGAAGAAGCTCAAGTTCCTGGACATTGACGTGACCGAGTTTGCTCGCCAGCTGACAGTCATTGAGTCTCGGCTGTACTCCAAGATCAAGGCCACCGAGTGCTTGAACAAGACGTGGCAGAAGAAGGTGGCGGAGGGCGACCCTGACGCATCTCCCAATGTCAAGGCCCTGATTCTGCACTCCAACCAGATGACCAACTGGGTGGCGGAGATGATCTTGAACCAGGTGGATGTCAAAAAGCGAGTGGTGGTGATTAAGCACTTTGTCGCCGTTGCCGACGTATGTCTTGCCCGTTTCTGTGTTTTGTGTGAGAAAAAGGCCGTGTGCTAACTGTTTCGGATAGAAATGTCGAAGCCTCAACAACTTTTCTACTTTGACGTCCATTATCTCAGCATTGGGCACGGCGCCCATCGCCCGTCTGAAGCGAACTTGGGACCAGATCCCTCAGCGCACCAGCGTCGTGTTGGAAACGATGCGGAAACTCATGGCCAGCACCAAGAATTTTGGCGAGTATCGTGAGGCGCTTCATGTCGCCAACCCGCCTTGCATTCCCTTTTTTGGTGAGTTGGAGCTTTTCCGCAGAGCTTCAAATAACGAAGAGCTAACCAGATTGCCCCAGGCGTTTACTTGACCGACCTTACATTTATCGAGGACGGTATCCCTTCGGTGATTAAGAAGACAAACTTGATCAACTTTGCCAAGAGGGCAAAGACAGCCGAAGTCATCCGCGACATTCAACAGTACCAGAATGTGGGCTACTCTCTTCAGCCAGTTCCCGAGCTGCAGGATTACATCTTGAGCAACATGCAAGCCGCCGGAGACGTGCATGAAATGTACGACAAGAGTTTGCAGATTGAACCGCGTGAGCGCGAAGACGAGAAGATTGTGAGGTATGTATAACACACGCAAAGGGACGAAGATGGCTCTCCTGGCCGTCTCTCCTCGCTTGTTCAATTTTATAGAAACTTTGTTAACCATTTGCTTCAGGGTACTTGCCGAGTCTGGCTTTTTGTAAAATACTCGCCTCCGAGCACCCGGACCCTGGGTTTTGCGGCGATGTCTATACTGGATACTGGACCATGTCATGAGACATGCTCTGCGTGTTGTACAATGAAACAAGCGGCGTATATTGGAAGAGCACACAGCATGTCAGGGATGAAAACAGAATATCATATACCAAGGGAAATCTAGGATAGGGAAGCACCCAACCATGAGGAAAGAGGTCATGCCGCAACGGCTCTGCTTTATCGCGCCAGCTTGAATTATATTCTCCTCTTTCGAGAGGGCTCCAAGAGGGGGTGTTTTGTCTCGGACGAGAGGATTAGAACGAAGATGAGAATTCCACGAAGGAAAAAAGAAGTCCAAAAAGAAGGAAGCGTGGGACCGAGCATTGGCTGCCCAGCCTGGGGACAATGCAGCATGAATAGCAAGCATCACAGGCGATTGCGGCCCGGGTTTCCTATATTCTTCATTGGGGCATGCAAAGTTGGCCCCTGAGCCAAAGATGCAAACATTTGGCTTTGGGGGTTTTCACCGAGAACTGTTGGGAACCGCAAGTCGGCGATCGGGGTTTGAAGATACGCAATATGAATATTACTCTGAGGAGAATTTGTGTGATTTTTTTTTTTTTTATGGACGCAGCGTTGGGGAGGGTGGCGCTTCTGATGGGCTTTTGGCTTTCATTCTGGGTTGAATTTGCTTTTGGGGGGTTTGAAACGGGGACTCTGATTCCCTGGGTCCTCAGCATGCGGGAAGAAAAAGAAGAAGACGAAGAAGAAGAAGACGAAAAAAGAGAAGAATGTTTGCTTGTGAGGATGGTTGTGTTGGGGATGGAGGTCTTTTGAGGCCTTGATTTCCCTGGGCTCTTGGGTATTTCTACCTCAAGGGTTGGAATAGGGGATCGAGGTTGTTTGACGAGAGCGGTGAGTTGTGGTGTTGAAGATCATGGAAGGGGATTTCTATATATTTGCCATATACTATTTTCTCTGTTTGTAAATACCAGAATAGGATAGGCTTTTTATATAGTTGCGTATATATCTGGTGCGTGAGTATATAGGTTATGCGAGTGTGTCTACTATTCAGGTTCAGGTTGTGATGGTTGACTAGGTACTTTGATGAAGTGGGTGTCACCTTGACACTTTCAGCCTTTTGCATGGGCTGCCTCAGGTTGCATGAAATGGGAAGCCAAAGTATAACAGAATGGCTTATCAATTAGACTACGACCTTTCCGCATATGGCTCTCAGGACATACAAAGCATCTTGAAATAGATGGATATGGGTGTGCTTCGAGCGGATATTCGATGAAATACAGGGTAAGCATTATCATTTAACATTCTGCCTCATGTTCAACGACTACTAATACAGCATTCCGAGATACAGTTTGCTAAACAAGCAAAAGCAACAGAGGTATAGATGAAAAGAAATGAGTCCTCGAGAATAGCCTAGTGCCGGTGCAGCTTATTCTTGATTCGCTCCTTAACACTGGGCTTGTCCTTGTGGTGATGGTGTCCCGAATCGGAGCTCTTGCGGCCACCGCTGGTGCCCTTGCTGTCGTCCTCTGCCGACTTGAGGCCCTTTTGCTCCATCAATCCTATCGTTAAAATCGTTGGTCAGCAAGCTATTCGACCTTTATATTCTGTCCTACCCGAGCCCAGTGGAGGGAGAATTCCTTTGGTAGAAATGAGGGGGAGTGAAACTTACGATCAGCTTCTAGCCCAGCACCAGGCTTCGAGGCATCGAAATTGCCTCCATCAGCGGCAAGTCCTGTCGTCTTGACGTACTCTGTCTCCTCGGCAGCTTTATCTCCCTCGTGCGCGTTCTGGTGTTCCTGCTTTGCCTCGACGCTGGGCTGAGGCTTGCTGTCCTTGTCCTGGGGAGAAGAGACGGAGTCGTCAGAGGCGGCGGCGGCAGCGTTTCCGCCGTGCTCTCTGGCAACTTCCTCGACGGGGCGGGGGCCCTTGCCGGAGAGCTGGTCGAGGGGCTTGCCTTCTTCGGGATTTACGGGGGCGTCTGCTGGTTCGGCCGTGGACTTGCCCGCGGGCTTGTCTAGGGATGTGTCTGTTGCGGTGTCTCTGGGCTTAGAGGTGTCCTGGGGCAGAGTGGTGTTCTGGGGCTTGGTGGCGGTGGTGGTGGTCATGTCGTTGGGTCGTTCCTGGGTGTCTGGGGTTTCGGGGAGCGGCTTGTATTTTGCGGAAGAGGAGAGGGCGTAGTATTCGCCCTCGGCGAGGTCTGAAGGTGTGTCGTCCTTGTCAGTTGTGTTGGTTTTGGCGTTTAGGCTGGATTCGACTTTGTGTTGGGCTTCGGGGTCTGAACTCTTGTGTTAGTAGTTGATGGATGACTGATGCATGTGAAACCAGGTATTGGCGTAGTCGGCCATGACATACCCAGGTTGCCAGCATCGTAGGGCTCGCCCTTGGAGACGTCGCCTGTGGCTCCCGAGATGGGCTCCTCGTGAGTCTCGGGGTTGGAGTCGCCCCAGACGGCCTTGGCGGCGGAAGAGGCGAGTTGGTTGATGGTTTCCATGGTAGACGCCATTGCGTTGTGTATAGTTACGGTGGGTATTGGATATGGTTCACAGAGATGGAAAAAAACACCGGGAATCAGTGGAGAGTTGAAGTCAGAAGATGAGAGATTGAGAGCAATTGAAACGAGATGGGTATCGATAGAAGTACGTTGGACTGGCAGAAATTCACTTTGGAGTCCCAAGGGCCGAGTCAAGAGGATGCACCGCCTTTATAGAACCGGGCAGTTCAGGTTGGCAGCATGTAATGGAGCCGCCTCTGACGTCGATTGCCTGTTAGACGCACAACAAGGGTGTTGCGTTGCAAAGCCCAGCCGTGGAGGACAATCGCCTCATGTTCGGCTAACGCAACCAGATTCCGGATTGGCAACTCGCCGGTTGGCCCTTGGCAGGCGAGGCTGGGGGAAGACACGGACATTTTTGATGACGGCGATGACGCCAAAGGGGGGGGCGTTTTGTGTTTTGTGTAAGTGGTGGAGGTACCCTCTGGTAGTGATGGTGGGACTGTTGCACGCGTGTGGTATCTATAGGTACTTGTAATAGATGCTCTCGGCCACTACCTTACATACTCGTATTGCAACTTATGCTTACTGCTCGTACTGCTATGCTATTCTGGAGGCACGAATTAGATGCGCGCAGCTCGTCGTTGGCTTGGAAGCTGAAAAGGGGCCCGTTTGAGGCGATGACGCAAAAGGCCTTTTCATGCTTGAATCGAGATTGACGGCAGGGTGGAGACGAGAGACGAGGGATTGTGCAGCAACACGTGAATGACGTACGTCGAGAAACTGGCGCCATTGTACATACTCCGTACCCTTGTCTCGCTTCAGCTTCCCACTGTGTTTGCTCTTTGTCTCTGTCTTCCAGCCTTTTCCACGGCCCTGATCCTGATCTTGGTCTGCATTGAAGATCCGACCTGCTGCCCCACGCTGTTGTGGAATCGCCATGTGGAGTCTGGACCGGAAGCACGGGCATGTTTCTTTGATGGAGACTCTGGACAGCAAAAGTGATGGAGGCGGCTGAAGCTACGGGACAGAGCTGCAGGGTTCCAAGCTGTGGATGTGCTTGGACCGAGTTTCGCTGCTTGCGTTATCTCGTGCGACTATTGATTGATGATGGACCCTTCTCTCACTGACATCTCATGCTGATATTAGATGAAGGCATCGCCGAAGCCATATCGTCCTTCATCACGCGCAAGACTAAAGAGGGGGAACCATGTCCGTCAACCAGACTATTCACAGTGAACATCAACCCGCGTGAACTCCTCAACAACGTCTCGTGAACATCGAAACGGGTATAGCCAGCCCTTAAAAGAACTGCTGCTCGGAAACCCGCCCGTCCAGCATCGGAGCATTGCTAGCACGACAAGCTCCAGGCCCGGCACGGCTGCTGTCGCTGCAGCAAGTAGGAGGTCGCCGACGCGGCACATGCAGCAGCGGCAGCCTATGAGCTTGTGCGAGCCTAACAAAAAGAGGCGGACATCCATCTTGTTAGTCGCGCCCAGGCAGGCAGGGCCGAGGCCGTATGGTCGGTCACTCCATTAGCACGCATGGCAGCATCGCATCTATCATATGCGCTTTACTACTGCGTCAGAGAAGTAAGGCATAGTATATATATATCTTCGTGTGATGTTCCGGGCCGTGTAGGCGCCAGACGCTCTCAATCAGACCCGGAATCTCAGACAGCCTCATCGCCAGCGTTGGCCCAACAAGTTGCGCACCCCGGCCCCCAACGCCGGGGCAGTCCTATCGTGTGAATCTCGTCTCGCCGCCAAATGCTCTGGGCTGCTCGCCGCTGGTCATTATTGCTGCTTGTGGCCTGAAATCTAGCTTCTCTTCATCTTTCTTGTCCGAGCATGACGCGGTATCCAGAAATCGCGGCTGGTTGCTGCTGTTGGCGTTGGCTCCGATCCGCGGCCTTTGCCTGGTTGCGCAGGGCCGTGGATGGCAGCCGTACGAGCATCGCTTGGACGATGAACAGCTGGTATTAGGGCAGCGTCCTATAGGTAACACGGCGTCTCTCTTTAGTATGTAGTCGGTTGCTAAGCTTCCAAATTCACCACAGAATCATCCGCAGCCTCTCGACCCCAAGCTCCGTACGCACCGCCCTTCCCCAGCCGACCAGGCAACCGTCCGTCCGGCTTCATCGCCCTCGGCGACTCGTACTCGGCCGGCATTGGCACGGGCCTCTTCAACGGCACCGAAGATGACTGTCGCCATGGGATCCACGCCTACCCGATGCTGGTGCACGACGACCTCAAGCGCAGCCAGGACGGAGGCGAGGGCCCTACCTTTCAGTTCCTCTCCTGCACGGGGTCTACCGTCGGTGATATGCTTGCTGGCGCCGAGCATAGCCAGATTGATGAGTTCAACACAACTTCGACGGCCGACTTTGCCCTTCTCTCCATCGGCGGCAACGACCTGGGCTTCTTCGACATCATGAACAGCTGCATATTCCGCTTCTACAGCTTCTACTCCGGCACCTGTGAGGCTGCTCTCCGCCGCGCCGACGAGCAAATGGCTGGCTCGAACTTTGAGCACCGTCTTCGACTCGTCATCATGGAGGTTCTCGATCGCGTCCGCTGGGAGAAGAGGCCTTGGTTCACCATCACCGTGACCGGATATGCGCGCTTCTTCAACGCCGATACGGACGAGTGCGACGACTACTCGTTTGGCATGTGGTGGCGCGGCCCGAAGCTGAGTCGCGAGCTTCGCCAGCGCATGAACGACATGGTTGTCGATGTCAACAACAAGATTCGGCACTCAGTCGATGCCATCAACGCCGCCTTTGCTGAGCCCAGGGTTCTCTTTGTCGACTACGACGACGCCTTTGAGGGGCATCGCTTCTGCGAACCAGGCGTTGTCGAGCCCGACTACGCGAGGAATGAGACCTGGTTCTTCCTTGTCGGCGGCCTGGACAACTACCCCGAGACGGAGAAGCCGGTGCTCGGGGCAGACGGCGCCCTGCTGCCCCCGGACTCTCCACTGATCGACCCGGAAACCTGCCTCGAGCCGGCGCAGAAGTCCGGGGACTGGGGAATGCTGGCCTTGTGCATGATGGCCATGGCCGCTGAGAAAGAACCCATGCTGCGAATGGCGGACGGGCGGGTTGTGGCGGAGAACTCGATGTGGTATGTGCCTACATACTACGGCAAGACTTTTCATCCGGTGAGCTGCCTTTTACCATTATTTACTGCTCTTCGTGTTGAGTGTTCCGAATGATGATTTATTGCAGAGGTATGCTGACTTTTGGTTGCAGCGGAGTCGCGGCCACATGGCAATGAGAGACCGGATCTACAAGGCATGGCGCGAAATGCGCGTCCCGACGATTTGAGGTTGACGATGACAGCCGGTCTTTGAGTTTGGGGGCATATCCATACCCTAATCGCCCTCCTCTCCACTTCTGATGATCTCGATGCATCGTTGGATTATACCTATTGATTTGACGCCTCTGAAAGATGCCTTGTATAAATTTATATACCTTTTACTACATAGAATTTGACTTGGGCTTGCGCAAGGTAGCGGAGAATAAATGAATCGATGAAAGACTCCATTGACAGACACCCCATGGGGAGGCTCCATATCTGCAGCCAGGGTCTACCCAGTAATACCCCGTAGCCCAGGTACGAGTACCCTCCAGCTAAAGTAGTGCTGTAAAGTGGCGGCAGATGCTCCCTTGATTATGCATACGATTTGACTGCATCTGGTGCTTCACCTTTTCTTCACATCATTGTAGCAAAGACGCCTTGATGAAAAATATTGAACTCGATTAACCTAGAACAATAACGTCCAGTTGACATCAAACTCAGTATCTATTGAGAGCATCAATCAATGAGTGGACACTGAAGCTGGCCAGCGCTAGAGTCAAAGGCCCAGCAAGGCCAGTGGGTACTTGCACTGGAGCTCCCGGAACATTGTTGTTGCCGCCCCCGTCGCCATACCGATTGCACCAAGACACGTGAAGTTGGGTTGCTTGGACATCAGCCTCGCGATCGAGGGACAGCGTCACTGTCCATCTCCAACTTATACCCAGCATCAACCGCCCACTCTTGACCGCCGTCGCGCCTCGCCATACTCGTTCCGATCGTTACCCAAACTCGTACAAACTGCGCGACTCAAAGCTCCTCCACTGATACCGTCTCGGGGGCGCCGCGACAATCATGGCGCCAGACGCAGAATCGCGCAAAGGTGGGCTGCCTGGCCTTTGAATGCGACAGAAAGAGAGCTTGTGCTGACTTGTGCTTCTAGGCGCAGACCAGACCATCAAGGTCGCCTCCAAAAAGGACTCGAAGAATGCAACCATCAAGCTGAAGAAGTCGGTTCCGAAGCACAACAAGCCGGGCAACTGGATGGAGGGCAGCGTGGTCGATGGTATGTCACCATGATCCTTTTGCTTCACCTTCCCGCAGACAGACCTGAACCCTTTATGGTTATGCCGATGCTGATGCTTTGCAAGAAGAGAAAAAAAAGTCTAGCAGTGCAACAACCCCTTCAGTACCCGTGTCTCCGGGGCCCGTCGTTAACCAGCTAGATGACCTATCCCGCGAGACGTTTACCACCGGACGACCCCTGGAGGACAACCCCGAGCTCCAGCAGTGCAAGCATTGCAAGAAGAGCATATTGAAGACGGCCGCCAAGGCGCACGTTGCGCAGTGCCTCAAGGTCAAGAAGGAGAAGGCGCAGCGGAAGAAGGAGGCCCGGGAGGCGAGGGAACGGGCCAAGGAGGCAGCCAGGGAGGAAGAGGCCAAGAAGAACGACGACGACAACGCCGACGGCAAGGACGAAGACAGCGAGGCCGAGGACGAAAAGAAGGCCGGGAAGAAGGCCGCCAGCAAGAAGCCGGACGACAAGGCCAGCAAGAAACGCAAAGCAGATGTCGACGTCGACAAGGGCCCCAAGGCGAAGAAGAAGAAGGATGAGCCGAAAGCCAAGCTGCCCAAACCAAAAGGTGTGTTGCTGGAAGAGACCTGCTTCTACTTGCTCCCTGTCCTGGATGGTCTGCTGACTCCTATTTTCTTACTATAGGACCTGTTGATGTAGAGCGTCAGTGTGGCGTGATGCTACCCAATGGACAGCCGTGCGCTCGTTCTTTGACGTGCAAGAGCCACTCAATGGGAGCCAAACGTGCCGTCTCGGGCAGGTCTTTACCTTACGATATGCTTCTGGCTGCGTACCAGAAAAAGAACCAGGCCAAGCAGCAGAGTATGTTGCCTCCGATGCATGACGACGTTTAGGAGTGTACAAGGGGCTAACCATGTATCACAGAGGCCGCATTGGATGCAAACGCACCCCTCGAAGACGACGACGACGCCAACAATGGCCCAGTAGATTCTGATGAAGAGACGGGCGCCGTCATGAATGCCCTGGCCAACTGGAACCCCCAGCCCCTGATACCCCAGCCCGTCTTCAACCCCATTAAGCGGCAGTATCAACTGGCGAGGCTCCACGAGCAACTGCAGATGGCCACTAACGGCGGCCGCACAAACATCTTCAAGGTCACGGGCTTCGGCGCCCAGAGACTGCGGACGGGCCACCCGGGGCTGTTGGATAACGAAGACGCTCCCGGCGAGCCCGACGTGGAGTCCATGTCCATGCCGGGGTCGGCGCGACAGGCGAGTTTCGGCATGCCTGCGCCGCCACAGAGGCAAGCCTCGGTGGCGAGCCGGGCGTAGAGACGATGCTTTCCTTCCTTCTGATACAGAGAGACTTTACACTGTTTCTATTCCTTCTCCTCCTTTTTTTTCTCCTGGACCTCGCTATTCCAGTGGTTGGGTGGCATGGATGAGGGGCGTGAGGCGAGTCTTTGTTTCCCACTTCTTCTGCTTTCCTTTTGTTTCAATTTGGTTTATTCATCAGCTTTTTGTTTGCTTTTATTGTTTTGGGTATATACCACTCTGCGCAGAGGGAACAGGTCAGGCAAAGGGTTTTTCATGAGTGAAATGACAGGGTTTGTTGTGCCCTTTTCAAACATCCTTCTTCACCCTGTGCAAAAGGGTGCCGGCGTTTTTGGTTCCGGTGGGTATTGGAGTATTTCGTTGTGCTATTCACATCTTGTTTTGGGGGACTGTCATACGTTATATTGTTTATACACTTTCTCTGCATAGATTGTTTATTCGGGGGGTGAGCATACATACGTATATGGTATACTACGAGATGGGTTCAGATGGGGAGCTCAGAGAAATAGAGATGAAGATCAAATGCACATGAGTCTTTCATGTTCTGTTTGAGAGGAGCAGTGCGATTGGAAGCCATTGTCGTGAATGGTATTAATTGTTTCATGATGGGTATCTATTGTCTGCGAGTTTCCAAGACAGGAACAATGTACAATAGACCTGAGTCCCCTATTCTGGATGGTCAATGATACAAAGAGCTGTCTCTTCTTGATTGTTGTCGAGTCAAGCTTATTGAGGCAACCTCCATCTCCCCTTACGCCCCAGTGGAAGCTCACTACAGGAGAGTTCAAGTCCGACTCTGAGGGGCGTCGCAACAAGATGGCCAGCATGGACCCTCTTGCTTGCAACTGGCTTCTCCTATTCCATCTACCTAGAATTACACTTCTAGGTCTGGAGTGAAGATGGGAGAAAGCATGTAAAGCCCCCCCACCCTTGTATGTGGTCAAAGTGATTAGGGGCAACGCGGCTCGTTTGGCTGTCCGGTTTCTGGTTGGAACTAGCTGCGCGGGTAAAAGGCCTGTTTGCCCTTCTTGAGCTGTTCTCTCCTACTGAGCATGCTGACGAGAGTCTCTTTCTCTGATGCGAGATCTCGACAAGTTATTGGCCGAACAACGCCTGGCCTCCAATCAACTAGTTGGGGAGTGTTCCCAGCGTATCATGGCATGATAAGTCCCACGAAGCGCGCAGCTCAATCACCGTGGTACTGCAGATCGGATAATGTGTGATTGCAACAACGCTCAGCACTGAAAAGCAACGCTCGACTTCTCCACGGTCCGCGAACCGCGCGCAGAAAAGCCCGTCCCTTCCGACTTTAGCCTGATCAACCCCGTCGGCAGAGGGTCCTTTGGGCTCGCGATCTTGACGGGCTTGCTGGTGACGGCAACAGGTGCGCTGCAGACGAAGCACGCAATATGCGATCCATTCTCCTCTTGGGCATGTGCCTTTTCCGAGGGGAGCAAAAACTGCTTGACGCAGCTGAAGCACAGGACGTGGCCGCACTTCTCCGCCATGACGGGGCTGGAGGCGTTGGTGAGCGTCTTGAGGCACGAGGGACACGTCCGGACGGACTGCTTGGTGGAGGAGTCTGTGGTTTCGTTGAAGGCAATGGTTAATAGCTTCTGGAGAGAAAAGGTGTGAGGGTCGTGTTCCGCAGAAGCAGGACACGTGGGCGCCGTCTTGGTCCTTTTTGGGACGGGGGCCAGGCCGCTGTTTTGCACGTCGGGGGTGAGTGAGGGTGTCCAGAATGAGGGCAGTGAGGGTTTGGCGGCTTTTTCATCCTCGATGGCTTTCCTGGCCTTTGCCTTGTCGTTTTCGGCTATCCGGTCGAGCTCATCCGCGTCGAGGGAAAACTTTCTCTTGGACCCTGCGTGGACGACGACGGCCGTTTCCTTCTTTTCACTCTCCATCGTCGTCGCAGCACTCGGACTTATCTTGATCGCCTTGTTGCCGTTGCCGTTGCTGCTGTCGGCGCCGTTCTTGTTGCCAACGCCATCCGTCAACCCGGCCTGCGTCAGCTCAAAGTCGCGAACCGCCCGCGCCCGCTCCTCCTCGTCCTCAATGGCCCGTATCCTGGCCGCCTCCCGCTCGGCGTTCTGGCGCGCCTTGTCCGCCCGCTTCAGCTCCTTCTTCTGCGCCACGAGGTTCTCCAGGGCGCACTCGCGGCAGAAGATGTCCCCGCGCGGGCAGGCGACGGGCTCGCGGGCGTCCTCGAGGCAGAGGCTGCAGAAGCCAAAGGGCAGGAAGGAGTCGCGGCTGAGCTGGGCGGACTTGGAGCTCCAGTTGGACTTGGCCTGCTCGCGCTCGTAGGAGGTGAAGACGGGGCGGGTCGTGTTTCGCTTGCCTGTAGCGGACGATTTGTTAGGTTTTCTGGTTTCTGCTGTAGGTCAATGGGGAGAGAAGAAAACCACGTACTATGAGACATTGTGATTGTTTCTGTCCCGCAGCATGTATACAAGCAATGGCTGTGTGTGCTTTGTCGGGTTACCAAGTACGAAGTATGAAGCAATGAAGCAGCAGCAAAGAACATCCAACGGAATTATAGTAAGGTAGGTAATACTAGAAAGCACATGTAAAAGCGCCTACGTAAATATTGCCCGTCTGGGGCTAGCCTCTTGCGCACGGCTACTAGTAGTAGTACGAAGAAACAAGACAAGCAGAGAGACCGCTGTGCTCGCCCAATCACGCCCACTCTGCAGCGCTTGTGGTTCAGCAATTGGGCGCTCCAGCGCTCGCAGCGGGGACCGGATAAGGGGCCCGGGGCGCGTTTAGCGGACCGCCATCAATTGCATCAGGGCAGTTTTAGTGGACGCGGCTGCTATAAACCGTCCAGGGCAGCAGTGCCTGTAGGGATTTCTTCTAGACTTAGTGCGCAGACATTCCGCGCTTGTTGGGGCCCCAAGGCGGGAAAATAAGGAAGGAACAGGTCGAGAAAAAAAAAAAAAATAGAGGCTCCATCTGCTCCATACCTCAAGACGTCCTCACCACCATGGGCCTCCTCCGTCAAGTGCCTGGCATGGACCTCGGAGCTGGCCCTCGTCTCCCCCCAGCAGCAGCAGCTGAAAGCAGCAGAGCATAGCCGCGGCCCATGTCGATGTCGAATCCAACTCCCGCATCGCGCCCCGGCGCGCCCTGGAGGCTGGCCTCTGTGGCCGTCATGAGCTCCGTGGGCGCCGCATCCCGCGCCTTTCTCTACGGCCTCAACAAGGTCGAGGTCACCGGCCTCGACAACCTGCTGGGCGTGCTCGACCGCCGCAGGAGCGGGAAGCGAGACCGCGGCCTGCTGACTGTGTGCAACCACGTCTCCGTGTATGCCACCTCAATTTGAAGCGCCGTCAATTCAAACCCCATCTGCTCGACTCTCTGCTAACTGGCCAGGCTCGACGATCCTCTGATCTGGGGCATTCTGCCGCTGCGCTACGCAGTCGACCCCGAGAACCTGCGCTGGGGCCTCGGCGCCCACGACATCTGCTTCAAGAACCGCTTCTTCTCCGCCTTCTTTAGCTACGGCCAGGTGCTACCGACGCACCGACTGTGGCACTCGCCCCAGGGCGGCTTGTACCAGCCCACCATTACCCAGGCAATCAAGCTTCTCTCCAGCCCCTCGTCCGTCGTCAAACCGTCCGACATGACCTTTACCACCACCGGCTCCGACTCCTTCGTCTCGCCGTCTGCATTCGCGGCCAACCACTACGCTTGGGTCCATATATTCCCCGAAGCCTGCTGCCACCAGAGCCCCGACAATGGCCTGCGATACTTTAAATGGGGTGTCTCCCGCCTGATTCTCGAAAGCGACCCGGCGCCCGAGTTTCTCCCCATGTTCATCCACGGCACGCAAGACATCATGCCTGAGGACAGGGGCTTCCCGCGATTCTTGCCACGCATCGGACAGCGGGTACGCGTCATGATTGGGAAACCAACCGACGCTGACAGCTTGTTCGGTCACTACCGCAGCGCATGGAAGCGGCTGGTCGAGAAGAGCGGCGACCCTGATTCGCTGAGGGACGATCCTGAGGCAGTGCAGCTCAGGGTCGATGTGGCCAAGGCGGTTCGTGACGAGATTCAGAAGCTTAGGTTGAGCATGGGATTCGCTCCCGAGGAAGATGAAACGGCCGCCCTCGCCGAGACGTGGTCCAAGGAGCCGAACAAGCGTAAATTCAAGAGCCCCGTAGATGGTAGTCTGGTCAATAGGCACTGAATCTTAAGCAAGCGCTACAGAGTCAATGGTAAAGGGCCCCCTCGCGTCTGTGATGCAATGCAAAGTCCAAACTTGCTTGTAGCTTCTGTTTTTGTCTTTCTTTGCTTCTTATTAAAAAGGATGGATATCTCGTCTTGCCCTCCCCTTGATTAATGGCCGATGAGCTTTTCGTATCAGCAATATCATCCAACCACCGCCGAACGCCCAGAGTCGCCGCAACATCGAAGTCTAGTCTGACCCATGACGTACCACACTCCAGGTCAAATGCAGGACATCTGAAAGTATGCCGCCAATGGTGTTGATTTTGATCGCCAGCAAAGATAATCAACGAGTCGATGTTCTTTTTTTATCTTTTTATATAAACGAAGGTGGCCGAATTTGACCGGAAATTACACTGCGGATGGCCAGCCCTGCCGAATTTTGGGGTGAAGGACACTCCGCGAATCACCAGTGCTGCCGCTAGTAGTTGTTGTCAAAGGGCTGTGATGGAACCGCCTGCTGGAAGCTCCGCGCCTGAGCTTGCAGAGCAGCTTGCTGTTGCTGCTGTTGCTGCTGCTGTTGCTGTAGGACGATGTCGTTGAACCACGGGTGCTGCAGGGCGTCATGAGCACTGATGCGGAGTTCTGGCCGAAGCTGAAGCATCCGTTGAAGCAGGTCGATTCCGGTAGGGTCGATGGCGTGTAGAATGTTGCGCAAATCCTGCGTCGCGTACATCTGGAACGTCGGCTTGTACTCTGGCAGCTGCGTGATGCCCGGCCATGTACGCTCAGTAGGCGTGCCCATGATACGGAATATCCTGACAATCTGGTCTTCGTTTGTCGTGCCGGGAAATAAGGGCCGGCCAGTGTACATCTCGGCCATGATGCACCCAGCTGACCAGATGTCGATGCTTGTGTTGTATGTCCTGCTACCGAGCAGGACGTCCGGCGCACGATACCACAGGGTGACAACCTCATTGGAGAATGTATTGACGGGGATACCAAAGGCTCGGGCAAGGCCAAAGTCGCCGAGCTTCAGACACCCTTTACTGTTGATAAGCAGGTTCTGGGGTTTGAGGTCTCGGTGCAGCACTCTATTCTGGTGGCAGAAGTCGATGCCCTTGAGCAGTTGGTACATGAAGGACTTGATGGTCGCCGGCTTGAGCGCGCCACGTTCGCCATGCGTATCCATGTATCGCTTGAGGTCGCCGTCCATGTATTCGAAGACGAGCATCAGCTTGTTCTCGGTGTGAATAACATCGTGAAGCCCGACAATGTTTTCGTGTTTGAGCTCTTTCATAAGTGAGATTTCGCGGATGGCAGTCGACGGCGTTCCTTCTTCCGAATCGAGATGAATCTCCTTGAGAGCGACGAGCTCTCCGGTCTGGCGATTCCTGCCTTTGAACACCTGGATAGAATCAGTCGACAAGCACTTCTCGGCCGCAGGGCGATGCCGGGTTCCAACTCACAGTTGCGTATGTGCCCTCTCCGAGCTTCTCCAGCTGCTGGAACGAACTAGGGTGCCGTTTGCCGTCCATCTCGGCGGGTTCTGTGTCTTCTCTTTACTCCTCGCAAACAAATAGATGAAGAAAACAAACAGCTCGTCTGCTTGCCTAGCGATGAGTCAATACTGGAAATGATGTCGCTCCGAAAAGGCTGGCAGCTGGTAGCACAAGAAGGGAATCCTGGACTAGAGTTTGAGGATCAGGCTGTCCCGCTACAGTGGGCCCCAAATAGAGACTATGCGCTTAGATTAGATAGCCCGATAAGCCGTATCGCTTGAGCTTGTCGCGCTGCATTCCAGGGACGCTTCTTGGGTCTGTCTTCTGGGCGCAAGGCGTGGAGCAGGATTACGGGAATATGTACTCCGTATGTATGTGTTGGAAAGCGGTCTGGTTGGTCCTCTGTGAAATCATGAAGAGAAGCAAATATTTAGGTCCTGTTAATAACAAAGAGACATGAGAGATTATCTGAATGTCTATCAGTCCTCCTATAGCATGATCAGCACTACTATAACAATTCAACGACTTACATCCGCTGTCAAAGGCGCCATTCTCGACTAACGGCCAAGTATGGAGTACGGCGCGGAAGGTACCTGAAGGTCGTTCCCCGCTCTCCGCGGTCGCGCCTCTCCACCAGGCCGCCCGCCACATCTACAAGGCCAGTACTCGGTGAGACGGTATCCATACTTATCTGGTGCCAACGCTGCGCTGTCGCGTTAAGGACCAGACCTGCCAAAGGCCATCCCCAACGATTCAAACTCCAAATCACACGTCAGCTCATCGTCGCCTTCTTCAACTTCCATCTCCAGGAAACGCCCTCGTCCCTCGATTTCGCCCGGAACTGCCCCCTGCCGGACACTCGCGCACAGCATGCGACCGGTTCCGAACAGCGGCGGCGCCTCAGCCCATCACGGGCGGCCCGACAGCTTGACGCCAAATGCGACGATGCCAGCAATGACGTACTTTGTCGGCACCGAGGATTCCATCAGCGACCTGGGCGACATGAATATGAGCTTCCAGACGCAGCGGTTCCCCTACAAGAGCGAGCACGAGTCGAGCCTCCGCGGCGGCCGGAGCAGCCACCGGTCGACCATGTCCGCCTCGACGTCCATCTCGTGGCCCTCACCGTCTCTCTCGTCCCAGCCCGGCGGCGAAACGCCTCACGACCTCTCCCGGCCCATGACCCCCGTGAACCTGAACAACTCCGGTCCCGAGTCCGTCATCAGCTCGACCGACTCGCCCATGAGCTCGCCCGTCGCCTCCATGTCTGCCAGCCGCATCAGCTCGTCGCTGAGCCTCGTCAGCCCTCACCAGGGCGGCATCGGGCTCTATCAACATGCCACGGATGGCGCTGCAGAGAGCCACACGCCACAGCTCATCATGCCCAGCCTGACGGTTCCGCGGCGCCGGCCCTTTTCGGATACGGGAAAGTCGCTGGGGAAGCTCAAGGTCTTGGTGACCGGCGCAGAGGGTATGTTTCCCATTGTGGCGATGGGATGAGGGGGGAATTGTCTATGCTAACCAGACACGAAAAGGGATCGGGAAATCAACTCTCATCACAGCCATAGCGCAAAGCAGCGAGCACATTGTCCATGTTGACCCCGTTACCAACCAGAACAAGGGCCAGGTGTCCGAAGTATATGCCAGCACCCGCCCTTACCCATGGTGGAGAGCAGAGCTGGACCCTTCCCTCGCCCCGAGGAGAAGGAGCTCGGCAATGGACGAGATGCTTGACCGTAACCTCTGTTTCGTGGACTGCCCTCCGCAGCGAGACTCCGACGGCGTGCATCCGGCTGTCCGGTATATCGAATCACAGCTATTCCCACTGCTGCACCGGCCAATCAGTGACGGCGACCTGTGGAATCTTCTGAGCAACGGGACAGAGCCCATCGTCGACGCAGTCCTGTATCTGCTGCCCCATACAGGTACGGCTGCCGCTTACTCCATACTCACAAAAACAAAATCACATTCATCTCTAACACTTTGCATATAGGACCTGAACCTGCAGATATAGAGACCATCAGAGTGCTGCAAAACACAACTAACGTGATCCCCCTGTTGGCGCGCGCCGATGAGATTGACAGTCGCGAGGCTCTCGCTTCCAAGCAAAGCATCGATGACAGCCTGCGTGACAAGAACATTGCCTACTTTTCGTTTAGTGCCCCCGGAGTACCCTCCGAAGCTTCTGACGTCTATGCCGTCTCGAGCATCTCCGACTCTGACTACGATGTGATGGATGCCAGCGTGTTGATGAATTCGGAATATGTGCGCCCGCTCGTCTCCACAGATCTCAAGAAGCTGGTGGAGCAGCTCATGTCACCAGATGGAAGCGCAAGGCTCCGGCATTCGGCGTCGCTCAAGTGCGTGCGGTGGCGGCGACAAAAGGCCATCAGCTCCTCATCGCAATCGGCTCTCATCTGCCGCCAGCCGATGGAGATGTACTCGTTTTCCGCCCCTTCCTGGGGCCGTCCGTTCCTCCCCGAGCAGTACCATCGACCCCTGGAGATGGCAAGTTGGGCTGAGAGCTTGCGGTTGAGCCTCGAGGCCGAACGCCTGAACGAGACGCCGATGCAACTGTTCGGGCCCGGCATAGCGATGAACATGCCACTGGCCAGGGTCAACCAAAAGTCCAGACGCCAGAAGCACAAGAAGTCGAAGCGTGAAGAAGTAGTGTCTCAACACCAGGACCCGCTGGGGCTTTTGGGGCTGGCTGGTCAAATCAGGTGCAACAGCAGGCTTACGCTCGAGCTTGTCAGCAGTATCGGCGTGATTGGGTATTTCACATCATGGCTCGTTCGACCGGACGGGCTGGTTGCAAGGTGATGAATCTGTTGCTGTATGTCGGGGGCTTTTCCTTCATTACTTCCTTGCTCCTTTTCCTTTAGCATGCTCACGTCCAAGTCTGTGTGTCCCCAACCCCCTTTTACTCCCTTCTCTTGTCAAAAGGGACATTCCTTGCTCACTTGTTGCAGGCGGTATGATGTGAGCTGTAAAGATGCCTCGACGATTGTCATGACTCTGCATGAAATGTCAAAGAGGCGGACGGTATATGTGTCTACCGTATATACATTGTAATTAACTCTCCATACTAGTAGTAGTATTCCAAGTTGTTTCTCCCCACCAGGCGTTTGATCCCGCCGTAGCAATATGCATACCTAAAAGCAGAAGGGCTATTGAATAGGTACAAGGGGGATTTAACATTCTCTCATCACAAATTTCGAAGTAAGTAGTTGTTTACATAAGGTACAGTAGCTTGCAAGAGACAGCATCTCTACCTAAACTGGTTCAATATCCGCTCAACGTAGAGTGCTGACTAATATTCACCACCAAACTGATGCCCATATAAAATGACTTTCATATGGTCTTTATACCCTGTAACGCTCAGGTGAGAAGGAAAAGACGACATCGATCCTCACGACATTTTGCCTCAAATCTTTATCAGTTCGTTAATATATCTCTTCTTCGAATACTCTATTCTAAAGAGGCTCAACGCAATGCGGGAAATTGTCACCCTCCAGCTGGGCAATCTGAGCAACTACGTCGCCACGCACTTCTGGAACGCTCAAGAATCCTACTTCACATACGCCGAGGACGAGACCTCGCTCGTCGACCACAATATCCACTGGCGGCCGGGCATCGGCGAGGATGGATCGGAGACGTTCCTGCCGCGGGCGGTCGTGTATGATCTGAAGGGCGGGTTTGGGCCGCTGAGAAAGGTCAATCCCATGTATGAGGCTGCGCCGGGGCAGGATCCTGCTCTGGCTGCTCTGTGGTGAGTTTCCAAGTTCTTCCTTGTCGGATGAGAGTTGAAAGAAGAGTCTCCTGAAGAAATGGGGGGGTTTCATAGGGAGAATTTGCTTGCTTAATTTGCTGAATTCTTTGGTATAAGCCCGTCAAGGTGCTCACCCACCTTTGTTCTTTCTCACGGCTAATGTTGAGTGATGAGAATAGGCCAGGAAAACCGGCGGTTCACAAGCAGACGCCCCTCTCTCAAAACACCTACCAGAGAGACCTCGACGCGGGCATCAAGCCAAGGCGCCTCCAGCCCTCGGACGTGCGCTACTGGTCCGACTACTCGCGCGTCTACTACCACCCCAAGTCGCTCGTGCAGCTGTACGACTTTGAGCTCAACTCGAGCATCATGCCGTTTGAGCGCTTCGAGACGGGCGCGGAGTTGTTTGAGTCGCTGGACAAGGAAGACGAGATTGTCGACCGGGACTGGCGGCCGTTTGTGGAGGAGTGCGACCAGATGCAGGGCGTGCAGGTGTATGCCTCGCTGGACGACGCCTGGGGCGGCTTCGCGAGCTCCTACATTGAACGGCTGCGGGACGAGCATCCGAAGACGACCATCTGGGTCTGGGGCGTGCAGAGCCCCGTGGCGGGCGTCGCGCGGGAGAAGCGGAGGATGAGGCTGGCCAACACGGCGCTGAGCCTCAACTCGGCGTGCGCGCAGGCGTCCATGGTGGTGCCGCTGGGGGTCCCTGACGCGCGGGTCCCCGCGAGCATTTCCCTGGACAGCACGTCGGCGTGGCACGTCTCCGCGCTGCTGGCCACGGCGGCGGAGAGCGCCTCGCTGCAGTCCCGGCTGCGGCTCGGCGGGGGCTCCTCGTCGCGGCCGCTGGGGCTGGCTGACATGGCGCAGTGCCTGAACGTGTCGGGCCGCCAGACCCTTGCCAACATGAGGATGGGCGTCGGACCGCACGCCGTGGACTGCTCCTCCTCGGGGGAGCGGCCGGAGCTGGACTTGTCGCAGATTGGGAGCTTGAAGGACGGCGGTAGGCTGGGGAGGAGCGGCGACGGCAGTGAGCGGGCGTTTGGCCGGCTGTCGTCTGTTCGCAGGCCCGAGGGCGTTGAAGACGGGTCCATGGATGTGACGACGACGGACCAGCGTCCCATCATAGGAAGCTCCATCATTCGAAAGTAAGCCCACCCTCCCCTCCCCTTATGTACCAACTCACTTCCACAGAGAAAACAGCATAACCTTTTTGTCCACTACTGGCTAACACACAAAACTTCGCAACACTCGTTTCAGCCACCAAACCCCCCTTCTATACCCCCTCCTCGACAGCTTCCCCTCAATATACAACTACGACCTCCACGGCCGCGAGAGCATCCCCGTGCACACGTCCCTGGCCTCGGACGGCTCCATCGTGCACAAGATGAAGAACCTGCGCACCCAGGTCGCGCCGTCCATTTCGCTCGAGGAGCGGGAGAACTTGGTCAACGGGCTGGCGGAGCTGGGGGCTGCGTATGAGGATGAGTGGTCGAGTGGGAGTGATTCGGGGGATGACGACCTGTGATGGGGGGAAGAGTCTGATCTGATGTTGACCTGACGTGATCTCTGTGTGAGACTTTTGTCTCGTGGACCGAGAAAAGAGGCATTTCATCTTCGTCATTGGCTGGAGTAGCCGGCGTTGGGGCGTACGAATTCGAAGCGGTGCTCTATTACTACTTGATGGTGATCAAGGGAGAAAAGGCCGGGAGCTCACTACTGTCTCACACATCTTCACGGATTGTTCAAAGACTAGGACTTAATGTCTCGAGTTTATTGCATTCGTAGCAAGCCAAATCTATCTAAATTGTAACCCCCCTCAGATGGATTTAAATGCAAATTATGACTAGAAGACGCGACTGAATAAACGAAGAATCATCCCAGAGGACTTCTGTGTCAATGTACATACGACCGAAGGAAAATCGCTACGGAATCGTAAAAGAGTATGCGGTGTGAGGCGGTACTGTCGCGAGTTACAGCTCTCATCGTCCTGCTAATATCAGATTAGGCGCCATTTGTTTTTTATGTACCTCGAATGTCTGCCTCGAAGATGGCGATATACGTAAAGAGATAAGAAAAGAACAAGGTAGAAGAAAGAACGAACAATGCAAAAGAAAGATCAAGGGGGTAGGGTTAGAATATCTCAAGAGAGCCGGAAAGGCAAATCATGCTGGCGAGATCGTATGGCGAGATCGCAACGCTTGAGCTGCCGGTCGATAGCCAGCCAGGATTACGACTTCATGGGTAGGGGGCAGCGGAGGCGCCCACTTCCTTAACGTCAGCTTGAGATCCAGGAAAGCATGTGTCCAAACGATTTCAAGGCTCGAATCATACGACACGGATGGCATCTGTTCTCCTCAGCCGGCGGCTGCAACCGATGCTTGCTGTCTCTTTGCCGGAGGAGTATTGTCCTGTCAACTGGTCAGTACGCTGTCCGGGTCGCAGGGGGCTGGGGCTGTGTATCGCATCCCCCAGCGCGGGGAACAGAGTCGATGCGATAGTATTACCTCTGGCGCGCCTCGTTTCTTGTTTGCAAGGCTCTTAGCGCTCGACTTCTTCTGAGGCTTCTGTTCTCCGGGCTCGAAGACGTCGTCTGGGAGGTTGAAGCTTTGGACAACATCAGTGCATATCCTTGGTGGTAGACAGAGAGAGAGGTCCCGCGAGGACTTACTTTCGAACGTGCTGCACGCCCAAAGACACCAAGTGTTCTAAGTCTTCCTGATACTTTTTCCACGACGTGCACAGTACCTTGAACTCATCTACTTGATACGATAGGTCGAGAGATTTGGCGCCTGCAAAATCAGCATCACACAACACGGGTGGCTCCAAGTTCTCGAAAGTAGAGACAGTGGAAACGGGGAAAAAGGAGGGGGAGGGGGGTGGAAAGAACATACCTTCTTCCAGCTCGAGGCCGATGTAGTGAGTAGTGGTGTAGACCTCGACTGGGAAAACAGATTCTGTAGAACCGTCCTTGGTCTCTGTCTTGATGGCTACTTCGCTGAGCTTGCTCTCGGCCTCGTCCATCTCTGGTTTAACGGGTATGTCGCTGAGCTTGCTTTCGCCCTCGACTTTCTCCGGCTGGATGATGTCTGCCCCATTAGGCTTGCTGTCACCCTCGACTTTCTCTGGCTTGATGGCTGCCCCGTTGAGCTTGTTGTCGTCCCAGTCCTTGATCATGAACTCGAGACTACCCTCTTGCACTTGCCCAATTTCCTGTTCGTTTCTGCACAGGTGTCGTCGATCGTATCCTTTGTTGAAGGCGTGCGCAAGTGCGATCGAGGGGTGCTGTTCCAGCTTCTGCACGAGCATCCGGATCTTGGACTCGACGTATCCCGACCACACTTTGTGCGCTTCCTTGTCTTTGCTTGCAGACACTACGGAGATGTAGTATCTGTAGCCTGAGGTGAAAAAGGTGTGCTTGACAAACAGGTCGCTCCACGGCCGCTTGCCCACCATGATCTGTTCGGAAATCTCCAGACCGCGGCGGAGCTCGCGCTGGATAATGGTCATCGAGGATCGAGTGATGTTGAATGTCGCACACATTGAAGGGTAGGCGGGGGTAATGACGGGCATGAGATGGAATGAATCGCCTTTGTAGACCTAGGTGACGAGTAGCAATCGGGTCAGCAGAAATACATGACGGAGGATCGCCAAGGTGACAGTGACAGTCTTCCCCGTACGTACCTTGGGGTTCCAGACGCGAACAGGGAGAGGCCCGCCCTCGATGGGCTTCAGCAGCACGGGCTGTGGCCAGCGCCATTGGCCGATGACCAAGAAGAACTTGTTGACGATAACCGACATGGTAGCCTTGGGATACAGTTGGCAGACGCGGGCCACCAGCATCGCCCAGGCGACACCGCCGGGAAAGCCCATGATGTTCGCGTATACGGCTCGGCGCTGTGCCCATAGCTTGATGGCTCGCAGCGCAAGCTTGAACGTGCTCTTCTCGGGTACTAATTCGAGAATCTCGTCTGTCACTCGGGTGCCGTTCAGGGATCGCAGCTCTGCCTCGTCCAGACCGCGCAACAGGCTAGAGTCTTTGAGACTATGGAAATCGGGGGCTATCTGCTTCTGTATGATTCTAGAAAAGATTAGATCAATGCTGATGCCGGAATATTCGAACTTGATGATGGGCACAAAGGCGTCCTTGACGACCGTCAGATCGGTGATGGCGCCGGGAGGGGCCATTGAGACGAGCAGGTCGGGGAAGTAGTTGAAGTAGTCCTCGCGAGTAACGTATTTCGGCGCGACGATGAGCGTGTCGATATCCGAGCCCGGCCCGAACACACCAAGGCGGAAACTACCGTAGGTGAAGACTTTGCCCCTGGCGTTCTTGATGAGGATCTCGTTTTTGGGTTCTCTTTCTCTGGCGACTTTTCGGACGAATTCGTTGCAGATTTCCTGCAGCGACCTGAGAACTTCCATTCTGTACAACTCAACAGGTTAGTGAAGACGAGCACGAGGCGTGCAGCGCAGGGTGTTGGGACATGCCGCTTTTCGGTATCTGACGGGCTCTCGAACGTCTTCTGGCGCCGGAGCTCCTCGAGGAGGGCATCGCTGGCGCGATTCTCCGCCTCGGTGGGCAGAGTGACTGAGATTGGCGGCGTCACGCCGTAGTTCTGCTCGCTAGCCATGGTTTGTCGCGGTCGAAGCTGTTGGGCTCAAGGGCATCCCCAAGCGCGAGGAGAGCCTCTGGGGTGGCGTTTGAGCGCCGTCGTCGCTCGGTGCTGCTGATGAATGTGTTCTGTATCGCGTCGGGTAGCGGCTATTCGTGTAGTGGTGCTATGCGAGTTCGTCTCCTTTTCGCTGTTCTGCTGACGCTCAGAAATCACGGTCAAGATGGTATTTACGGAACTGGCTTGCGGGTTTGAGATTCGAAATTCCACCTCTTTGGCTTCAGGCCGGCCAGGGTGCGTGCACGGCAGAGGCTAGTCCGCAAGTGGATTAACCCGGTCGGCTTGAGGCTGGCTGGAAGAATATATTTTCCGGCCCAGACCTTGCCATGGCGCTAAAGCAGCAGGGATGATATGCATGTAAGTTCTGCGCACATGCTCGAGGTTGCTGAGACAAGCAGGACCAGGACAAGGTGTTACGACGTGAGATGTCGAGCAGCCCGGCTGCAGGGCATTGCCTACAGTATTTACGAGTGCGTAGTACAACATATGAAGAAAGTACAAGTACAGCACAAGTACAGCACCAGTCCTGTCGAGGGTGTCGACGAGAAGCAGATCCCTGGATATACATACAGGAGCAGGAGTTTGCCGGTTGGAGTGTGACGCAGTGCTGCCCTTGTGTTTTACCAGTTAGTACGTGTGTGAGGCACAGGGTCTTGTCGATAAAGACGTACCGAGTACTTTGCTCTCGAGGGAGAAACGATAATACGACAGGGTTCACGGGAGGGCAAACACATTACATGTAACAGTTCTCCAGCCTTCTCTGACCATGAGCAAAATTCACCCTCTCTCGTAAGAAAATGCAGAAGAGAATATGCAAAAGAAAAGACTGGAAGAATCATCTGATGGCGCTGGGCTTGGTGTAAGGTGTCACTCTTGCTGGACGGGTACAGCGCGTGGCTGGTATCTCCGGTAACGGCAGAGGGGCATTCCGCGCTGGGCGCCCTGCATTGGAGGGGGCCGCAGGCTAACGAAAAATACCACCCCTGCGCGTACCCTGTACCGGTTGCCCAGGTCCCTCCCCCCCTCCACAATAAGGTTTCCACATCTAAAGTGGTGGGTCGCCGACGCGAACGCGATTGTGTTTGAGCAAGCCATCCGAAAACTACGGCAACGCTGGATGGATCTGGTTCACTCTTTAAATGCCAGCCCGCGGCGCTCGACCTCTGACCGCAGGCTCCGAGTCTGTGGCCTCTGATGCGCCGCCCAAGGGAAGAAAAAAAGACTGCCACTTGTCCTCGTTATAACACTGCCGTGCAGATACACGCTGGCTGTGATTGTGGGCGTGGTTGTGCAAAGCGAGGAGCAGCATCAAGTGACGCTGTGAGAGAGAGAAAAAAAAAAGTGTAGTACTACTAGGCAACGGAAAAAAATATTTGTTTTCTTACCTCCACGGCGCCGGCTAAGAAGCATCTCCGCAGCATCGAATACCGCAACCTCACCCAAGGTAACTCCAGGTCATACTAAACACCAACTCCCCTACGCAACGTCACCACCCACGATGCCGGCATCGGCCAAGAGAGCCCAGCGCGGCCGGCGCGACCTGCGCAAGGACAAGGACGACAAGGACAAGGACGTCGCCGCCGCAGACCTCGAGAGCTCGTCGCCCAGCCGGCCCGCAAAGCGTCGCAAGAGGGCCCTCTCGCCCGACCACCCCGACAGCCTCCCGCCCGGCGCTCCCTCGCACTCGCAGGCGCCCGAGTCGTCGCAGTCGCAGTCGCAGTCGCAGTCGCACTCGCCCAGGGCCCAGGACGACCTGCTCGTGGCCCAGGTCACCCAGCAGCTGCGCTCCCAGCCCGTCCAGGCCAGCAGGGACCACTCCAACTCCATCCACGAGGCCAACGGCAACGGCGTCAAGGCATACGCAAAGGTGGCGGCGCAGGACTGGACCTACTACATCACCAAGCTCAACGTCAACATCGGCCGCTCGCCCGAACCCTCCCATGGCGCGCCCGCCAGTAGCGACAGCGGCCAGCCCGCCGTGCACATTGACCTCGGCCCCAGCAAGATGGTGTCGCGCGAGCATGCCACCATCTCCTTCAACTCCAAGGACGAGATCTGGATGCTCTACATCAAGGGTCGCAACGGCGCCAAGGTCGACGGCCAGCCCATCAAGCCCCAGACCTCGCATCCGCTGACGAGCGGCGAGGTCATTGAGATTGGCAACGTCGAGATGATGTTTGTCCTCCCTTCGGAACTCAGCGCGCTTCACATCCATCCCATGTTTCTGCAGCGCTGCGGACGCAGCATCGATACGCCAAAGGCTGCGCAGCCTCGCCAGTACGCTCTGGACACACCGGCCAAGGCGGGTGTGAAGCGACCGGGCACGCCGACGTCGTCTCAGGACCACAGCGCGGCGACGGTCGCCAAGTCGCCTGTTGCGGCCAGCACTCCTGGGGGTCTTCTTGGTGCCAGCGGCGTAGACCTCAGCCTCGACGAGAATCAGCATATAAAGCCCCAGTACAGCTACGCCCAGATGATCACGCAGGCCATCCTCAATGCGCCCGACGGCAAGCTGAACCTGAATGGCATCTATAACTTCATCATGAGCACGTATTCGTATTATCGCCACCAGCACGCAGCCGGTTGGCAGGTGAGTAGCTTCAGTCGCATGGGCACCGTTACTTTGCTTCGATGACGCCGGCTGACCTTTGGGCCTTAGAATTCCATTCGCCACAATCTCTCCCTCAACAAGTCGTTCGACAAGGTCGCCCGCACTACCGACGAACCCGGCAAAGGCATGAAGTGGCACATCGTGCCCGAGGCCCGCGATGAGATGGTTCGGAATGCGTACAAAATCGGGCGCGGCGGCCACAGGGGATCGTCTGTCCCGTCGTCACCGAGTCACTTGAATTACATTACCCACGGCCCTAAAGACGTCCTAGCCAGGGATCCCTCGTCTGCGCAAAAGAGGCGAGGATCGCCGCTTGTATCGCCGCCCCCTCAGTCGGCCATGCGCGGCCTCCAGTCGACGCCGGATCGCGCATACGGCCGGAAGGCGGACCGAAGCTCGGGCCTGACCGCGGACGGCAGCCCGCTGCCCCGAGCGCGGAAATCCACGGCGGCCGACGCATCCTTTTCCGGCTTCCAGCCTCAGTCGCCCACCCTGACGTCGTCGTACATGCAAGACGACAATGCGTCCTTCGTCACGCCGGCGCCGCCGAGAGTACATCCCAAGCTTGCGCCTCCGAGCACCGCCCAGCGGCCCAGCCAGCATATGCCGACCAGCTCGCCGGCGCCGTTCTGGAAGTATGCCGACATTGGCAGCACGCCGCTGAAGCCGCTGGGGCCGTACGAAGTCAGCCCTTCGAGGGTCGCCGGAGAGGCGCCGCCCCGGAGCAGCAGCCCGCCTGCGCTCGGCAAGTCGCCGCCAAGCAGCCCGTCTCGGCCGCAAAAGTCGGGCCTTCGTGAGTCTGCAGATGCTGCGGACGAGCCTGAGGAGGAAGGATTTGACTTGATGAAGTATGCTTACCAGACTAGCCTCCCCCTTTCTCCTTTTTTTTTTCCCTCCCCCCTTCTGGATTCATGCTAACAGGATCCTCTCCTCGTTCTATAGGGGCTTTCAGAGTATAGGCGCGTACCACGCTCCAGTGGAGCGAGGCGTCCCTATCGGCGCAGCCTTGAAAGGCGGCTCATGAGAGACTCGAGAGGTGTCTTCCCATCGAGGTCCTCTCCTTTGGCGTGTGGTCTGCTGGTCTGGTCATTCCGTCATTCCATTCCATTCTTTTCTTTTCTCCTTTTTTGTTTTCTTTTACCATCATCTTTCCTATCTCTGTATTCTCTCTGTACTTTTACGAGGAATGGCTTTTCTAAAGGGGGTTGGGACAACGGGAAAGTGGGTGGCGGCGTATGAAGGTGGGCAAAAAATCTCGAAAAGGGGGGAACCGCTCTTTGTGTTCCTGATGGCCTTGTCTTTTTTTCTGTTTTCTTCTTCTTTTTTTGGTGTTCTGGCTGGCAAAGGTAAGGTAAGGGTCAAGGGGTGTCTGTGTGTGTGATACCTGGTTCATAGGCGGCCAATCTCTGATGAATTGAGTTTTTATTTGGCTTTTCTCATTCCTTCTGTTGCTGGACACTACCTCCCTTGATATCGTAGTCACCACATCATCGCAACTCTCATGAGAGACCAACAAGTTTCATATACGTGAATGAGTGAGGTATTCTTTCATCGTCTGCTTCCCACTGATCGGAAAGCCAACCTATATATGGTGGTAAATGTACATTTGGCCCTTGCTTTTTTCCGCTTTCTTTTTTTGATGCTCCTGAACACTATATAATACATTCATCAAGATATTCCCCCTCGGGTCATGAAAAACCATGGGCGTCTCGTTAGATACATAATTTTCGCGTCAATTTTGAGCGGAAAATACTCCTTTTATTTTCATGTCTGCTCGCTCCATTGGGAGCGTTTATTTGGCCGCTCCTCGCCTCTTGGGGTTTCCGCGCCCGGGTCGCTTCTTCGATCCCGCCTTGGACGCGTCGTTGCCCTCGATGAACTTGAGGAGCTCGTCAATGCTACGGGAGTCGATCTGGGACGCCGCTCCGCGCTGCGGTGCCGCGCCTGCGGATTGCGCGGCTGTGGCCACGGGGAATCGGATGCCTGAACGCAGGCGTCTGGCCTGTACATCTTTGGCGTGCTTGGCGATCGAGACGGCGTTCTGGGTCAGCTGCTCCAGCCAGTTCTCGGCCTCCTTGGTGTTCTTGTCCTCGGGGCCCAGCTCGGCAAGGAAGATGTTGTATGATTCGCGCATCCTGTTGACGGCCGCCTTGGAGTCGTGGTCGAGCGCGAGGGCCTGCGCCAGCTGGAACAGCAGAGTGGCCGAGTTGATGGACTGCCGGCCAAACACGGAGTCGCACACGCGCAGGGACTCCTCGAACCAGAGGCGAGACTCGTGGTAAGCCTTGACACCCTGCAGCATCACAGCCGCGTTGTTGAGGGTCGTGATGGAGTCGGGGTGTCCGGGTCCGTAGATGATCTTCCACAGCTTGAGCGCGTGGATGGAGTAACCCAGGGCTGACTTGCTGTCACCAATCTGGTGCAGGAAGAGACTGAGGTTCAGGTAGTTGAGCAGCGTCTCGGCCGAGTCGACGCCGCCCGTGCGCTCGGAAACGATGATGGCCTTTCGAGCCAGCTCAACGGCGACTTCCTTATCATCCAGCTGGTAGTACAGCATCGAGAGGCTGTTGTAGACCTTTGCGACCTCTGGGTGGAGGATGCCGTAGATCTGCTCGTGGAGAGAGAGGGATTCCAGCAACAGCTCCTGTCCGAGCTTCTTCTGGTTCTGCAGGATGGAGATTCGTCCAGCCTCGAGCGCTTCTTCCGCAAGCGAGCTTCGAGGGCACGAATGCTTGACCACCGGCACAACGTTGATCACATCATCGGGAGTGAAGGTGGTAGGAGGCGCGGACACCGGCGGTGTTGTTGGTGCGCTCTCTCTTGCCGCCTTGTTCTTCTTCTTCTTGCTCTTGGTCTCGCTGTTCGCCTGGCCATTCACCTGCTCTGGCTGGGCAGCGCTGGCAGGGGCGGCGGCAGCGGCACCACTCTCGAAGGCGTAGTCCTTGGCTACGACCTGAACGCCCACTCGGATGCAGATGTCACGGAGCAGCTGCACAGGACGAACCTCGTTGAACCACTCCGCGCCAAGCTGGTAACGGAAGCGTTTCAAGACCTGCTGCTCAATCTGCTCCCGAAGCGTCTCGGGTGTGACGGATTCGAACGAGAGGTCGGCCTCTGGGTACAGCTCCCGGAAGGTCTGGTCAACATCGGCCGTGGGCTTTGAGTTGAACCGATGGCCCAGCAGGCAGTTCAGGAGATGAGACAGGCAAGAAGGCGCAAATGGCATGGGGAGAGATCGCAGGTAGTTGGCGGCAACGTGCTTGAACGCACGGGCAACCATGTCCTGGATGCAAATCTCCCGCAGGCAGCGAAGTCGGTCGTTGGTAGCGAGCGTGGTAATCTTTCCAAGGTACCTGATGTTGATACCCCGTTTGTGCAGGATGCGGCCGAGGGACTGGCCATCCATGGGGAAGCTGATGTCCGAATCGACGAGCTCGCGCAGGAACTCCGGAATCACTCGGTCGCGCAGGTATTCTCCTGCCGCCCTGACCTCCTTCTCATCGGCTTCGAGCTCGGCCTTTTCCTCGTCGGTGATGGGAACCTGGCCGCTGAATGCGTCGGGGTTGAGGGCGAACTTGAAGTCGGAGAGGTTGGGCTGAGACTTCTCGACCTCGCCAGCCTCAGTCTTTTCGGCCTCAGTCTTCTCGTCCTTGGATTCATCCTTGGCCTCTTCCTTGGCCTCCTCCTTGGCCTCCTCCTTGGCTTCCTCCTTGGGGGCCTCGTCCTTGGCCTCGGTGGACGTCTCGGCCGAAGCGTCTCCTGACTTGGGCGGGGCACGGCGAGCCAGCTCGGCGTCAATCCACTGCTTCATCCGGTAGCGACCGAAAGACTCGACCAGTTCCGGTCGCAGCACCGTCATCCTGTGAGGATACTCGGCCGCTTCGGCCTGATCATCTGCAGCCGCAGTCTCTTCCCGCCAAGCAATATCGAAGGGGGTGATCCGGTAGAGGTCGAGGACGTATTTGCGTCCGTCTGTGCCCATCAAGCCCTTCGTTTCCACGCTCGCCTCGAGGTCGAATCTCTTGCCATCCTTGTCCCAAACAGGATGCGCCTTCACCTTGAGAGCCTTGGAAAGCTGAGAGAAGGGAGAAGTGAATCGGTCGTCAATCGCAACAACGTCCTTTCCATCCACCGCGCCATAGTCGATCTGATGCTCTCCTGGCTCGCGCTGCTTGAAGATGCCTGGAACGATGCTCTGGCCAACAATACGCTTGCCCAGGTAGTCAACAACCACAGTGGCTGGCGTGAAGAGGCCGTCAATGTCCAGTTGGTTGACCAGCTGCACACCCGCGACATCCTTTCCGGTAGCAACCCGCGCGGCCTCGTCGCCGCCTTCGGAGGTGAAGGTGCCGACGCCGTCGGCTCCAAAAGAGTAGAAGATGTTGTTGTAGACGAAGATCTGCGCATCTCTAGTCTCTGTTGGGTTGAGCGGCGCAATGTCTCCGTGGGCAATCAACACCGCGCCCTTGACGGCAGCGTCGTTGTAGTCCGCAAAGAGCTTCGATGTCAGGCGCTCACGGAAGACTCGGTCTTGTACGCTCTCTTTCGGCAGCTCCTTTGCCGACTGGAACTCCTCATTCCAATCTCGCAGAGTGTCTGTGTTGTCTACGCCCGCAAGGAGGTAGGTCTCTTGCGGCCTCGTGACGTCGGGAGTGTGTGTGCAAAGAGACGAAGTAGGGGGCGGCACAGCCCAAGGTGAGTTGGGGATTGCGTTAGTGATCTGGAACGTCGCCAGCGGGTCCCTTTTGCTGTTGTATTCCTGGAGGCTCTCGAAAGAGCTGGAGAAGGAGGGGGAGAGCAGCTCAATGAGCTTCAGCAGGGAATGAGACGACTGTCCCTTGGGAGCGGGACGCGGGAAGGGGTCGAACTTGGCGTTGGAGGATTTGTTGACGAAGAAGCCAGACACGTGCGCAGTGATCTGGAACTGCTCTCCTTCGTTGGTGGTGACGACAAGGTAGAGCAAGTGCCCGCGCTGCTGCAAATGGCATGGCGGAGGGTTCCATGATGAGAGAGCCACCATCTTGACAGTCTTGGGAGCCGGCTCAAGGGGCTCAGGGACGAGGCCGGTAATCGAAGGAGTAGCTTGGAAGTCATAGTCCTTGGCAGGGGACTGTTCCTCGCTGCCCTCGGTTTCAACCGACAGCTTCTTGGTCACGGATTCGTACAGCGACAGTCCGGGCAGGACGCCGTGTGCGGAATCGACGCGGTTGCCAGCGGCACCGATGAGCTCACGAATTCTGACCAGATGGATACGGGCCTCCTTCTCGGTGTACGGGTCCGGCACCAAGCGAAATTCCGGCTCGGTGCCAAGATCCGGGATCTCGGCCAAGGGTATGTAGTCATTGATCTTCTGGCCTTGGAACTCGAGGTGGAAGCACGTGTACTGGAAGGCCGCCGGCAGGTCGATGATGGACTGTCGAACCTCGTGAACTTGTTCTTGAGACGATACCTACAAGCCGTATTAATAGGAAGTGCAGATTGGAGACGGCCAAAACGGTCCAATGCCCACCATGATATGCAGCTTTTCGGCCTCGGGATCGGGAAGGACGATCGTGAGGTTCAAGATAGCTATAGCAGCACCTCAATGTCAGATAAAAAGCACAACCCAACCGACACCTCGACAGCAGAGAACCTATACCTTCAGCTGCAGCGTCGGCATCTGCCTCGGCCTCGGCCTCCCCTTCGGTCACGGCCTTCTCGGGAGCAGACATGGCGTTGTCGTGAGTCTCGTCGACAGCTTGAGCTACAGGGATGTGCCGGTGCATCGTCAGTTGGTTTGTCGACATGACCCTGTAAGACTCGGGGCCTCTTTACCTGGAGAGGGAGACGCAGCTGCTTGTGCTTCGGCCGCCATTGTCATACAAAAGGGAGGGGGTCGAGAGAGCGGGCACGGTTAACGACGAGGTACTCGAGAGAGAAGAGAGAAACCAGTCATTTAAGAATTGAGCGGGAATGACTGGGACGTCCTGAGGAATTGGTTTGCGGAAGAGTCAGTCGCTCCAGGACGGCCGGCACAAAAAAGAAAAAAATTTGGCACCGGTCCGGCAATTCGGAGCTGCGGGGTACATGGGCAGTACATGCTTCGGCTACGGTTTTCACAGGCGGTGCGGCTGCTTGGGCTCGTACCCCACAAGTTATGGACCCGAGCATTGGCCCCGGCTCGGCTCTAGAGCGAAACGGGAACAAAGTAAACAGAGGGCTTGTGCTTGTTATCCGCTTCTGCGCAGCATCGTCAGCGTCACTGGTGCACGAACACGTCCAAGATGCTGCGATAGCCGATTGCTTTGCGGTTCTTTTCTTTTCTTTTCTTTATTTTATTTGGCAGCTATTAGCATTTTTGGATTGTGCTGCTTATCTTTTTTCCTTATGGATCCGGCGGCGCAAGTGGCGAAAGCTGTGCCTTCAACTCAACGCCCCGGCACCAAGTCGCGATCATCCTTAGGCCCGAGAGGCACGGATCTGGACGGCTCACAGCCATGGACCGCCGCTCGATGCCAACGACTGCTTCGCCAGCTTCAGTCTCGCTTGGCTAGCCTTCGACGACTGATATCAGACGATGATGCCACGCTGCCGACCGGTTCCAAACGAGCTTCGGACCATGGCCGAGACTCGACGGTGAAGCGCGTCCGCTGCACGTACGGCCAGAGGACGAAGAGAGCGGCTCCTGCGCAGGAGGAACTGGCGACAACTCCCCCGCGGCCAGTCCGTACCCTGGGAGCCATGAAGCTGGGAAACCAGTCTCCGACATCCGATCCAATCGACTTCCGTACGCCTGTTTGGCGCAAGATCCGAGACCAAATCGACACGCCGGCGAAGAACCTCGAGATCGACTACGGGTTTCTGGACTCTGTCCCTCCCGAGCTGGTTGATGAGCTGAATTCCATCCGTCGATATGTCCCTAGCGACTTATATCGCATATACGAAGCAATATTCCACTGGCTGAACCGATTGTTACACTCCACGGCCCTCCCGGGGAAGCGTGCTCGCGGCAAGTCATTACTTGCCATGTGCTTGCGCAAGATTCCGGAATGCATCGCGGATATAGACGCGTGGGATCGGCAACAGTTAAAAGATAGCGGAGTCAAATCGATATGGGGCATCTCTGATGCAGCTTCGGATCTGTTTGACCAGCTGGAAGCTCTGGGGTCGCCGAGTTCTGGATGGCGCCCATTACGGCTTGTGGTTCGTTCTCAAGCTGTGCACCTGCTCTCCAATGCCGTTTCTGATGGACTCTTCCGACCAGAGTTTTGCAATCTCCTCGTGCGGCTCTGCGTTCATTTGAACGGCAATCAGGAGGCTGCTTTGCTGGTGGCGTCGATCAGTAGACGCCGATCTACCGAGCTCCGACTTAGGACGACTCACCTCAGCGAGAGCAGGGAACTCTCCACGCTGTGGGTGCTGTTGGAGTCTCTCAAAGGGAAGAAGATACCTGGTCCCATTTTTGAATGCGTCTCTGGCTTGATCAACAAGGGACTTCTCTCGTCATCTTGGATTTCCACACGGGCTTTCTCTGGTTTCTGGATCTCCAGCCTCGAAGGCTTAACCTCCGGAAACGCGAAGCCACACGTGGTGGAATTCATGTGCATAGCTATATGGACGCTTGCCCGGGGCAACCGACCCAAAGCCAGTGACTGCCGTGCTATTGAGCAGACTCTCATCCGCGTTGCGGCTGGTTTGGCAGTCGCAGCGTTGACTTTGGAGGCCCAAATCATTCTCGAAGAGCGGGAGCAGAGAAAGGGAGCGTGGAGGCGGTTGGTCCATGTGCTTGAACGCAGTATCTCACTTATTGCACGGTATAGGAGCCGTAAAAGCCCACCCGATACTGCCTCCTTTCTGCTCGTCTTTGCACGCTACCTTGCGGTGGCGCACTCCGCTCTGGCGAGTCCGGCTTTCAAGAGACGGGTTTCAGAGGAGTTTGAAATCATGGCTCATAGGATCGACACCGCTGCCAACAAAGGCGTCCAATACCAACAGACAACCATCCTGCTGTGTGCCGTCATACAATGCCGCCGGCGCAGCAGCGCAGCCTCGAGTCAGGAAATACTCTCCGACGTCTGTTCGAACCTGGATCGCCGAAAGCTGCCTGAGTGGTTCGGCCACGGGCTGCAGAAAGATGTCGCCTTTATGCTTGCTCAGAAAACCGAGGATCTCCGGGACCTGACCTTTGCGGAGAGTCTCTCTGGCACCACACCGGGCAATGCAAAGTTTAGCACCATCTTCTCAGGATGGCGATGGGAGGAGGGAATCAGCGAATGGGTGCTGCCCAGTCCCAAGCAAAGGATTGACCGAAGTGAAGGGATATTGGTCACGCCCGCAAAGCAGAGCGATGCGGAAGACGAGACTTGCTCGGAGACCAGTGACGAAGTGAGCTTGATTTCTCAGAGAAGGGGCTCGGGCCGGATCATATCGCATCGTACAAGGCGAGAAGTAGGAACCTTTGCTATGGAGAAGAAGCAAAGCAAAATGGCGAGCTTCCGACGAGGCAGATTGGCAATAAGCAGTGCCGATACTAGCTGCGAGGCCACGCTTGGATGTTTGGAGCTCTCCAAGAGCTCAGCGCGACGGCCAAAGGCCATGAAGCCTTTCTACATTTTATCTCAGCTTCACGCGGAATATAGAGACGAGATAGACGAGCTGGTTTAGAATAGGACGCATCGCTATTTGTGTAGGAATACAGAAGCCCCGATTGATGTTTTGTCCTGTCGGGTCCTGAGCACTATTAGTCATGGGCCGTCTAATACTATGGGGCACAGACAGCTGAGTTGATGCGCCTCTACTAGGTAGGAATTTCGTAACTTCGTATTATCGACGGGTCTTCATTTCAGCTTTGGATCTATACCTCTCAGCTGCATACTTGCCTACAGTACACTGGTGGTGCAAGGGTAGCAGCCATATTCGTTAGGTGCATGCCCTCTCGAGCCCCCTCAGAGCCTTGTCGTCTCTGTCCCGCTTGTTGTCACTGCTACCAGTCAACGGGCTTCGTCATTGATGCCATGATGCCACTTTCCTAAGGCATGGAGAGGAGAGCAAAGGTAAGCTCCCTTCTAGGACTCCCAAGGTAACAAGAGTTCAGTTGTCGGCTGACAATAGATTTGTCTCCAGGACGTTGAGTCTCTGCTCGCGACATCAACCGGCCAGAAAGCCTTGGACTATGCCATACAAGCGGCCGAGCTGTACATGCGAGCGGCTGCGGAGAGGGGGATTGGCAAAGACGATGCAGCCCGCCTTCGCCGCAGATGCCAACAGCTCATTGCATTCGCCGAACAGCTCAAGGTGCAGCTGACAGCCTCGCCGGCCTCGCCACCGACCGACGGCCTCAGTATTCTGCGTGGCGCTTCACGGCTCCACGGAAGCTACTATCCCCCTTGGAGTGACGATCCTCCCGACGCGCAGTTCCAGCTGGGACCCGATCTAGCGCCATACGTGTGAGCTCCTACGATCCTACATAGACAGATGGAGACGGTTATGGGCGATCAGATTCTAACGCGAGGGCCAGCGACGACACTCTATTCCCGCTTTCCGAGACCCAACTGGCCAACTTTTCGGCATGGCAAAGACCACACGAGCTGTTCGGCCCCTTCGCCGCCGGCCAAGATGATGCTCTAATGAACCAAGGCACGCGCTTCGACTTGGCGCAAGATATAACTACTGACTGTTCGGTCGTCGCTAGTCTTTCTGCTGCCGCGAGGATCTGGACTGGAAAACATGCGGTAGGTCAAGCGTGCATTGTACTGGAACAATCCGTTGTAGAATTAACACATTGCCAAAAGGTCCTTTCGAAAATAATGCACCCGTTCGACCACGCAAGAGGGCAGCCTAAGCTCTCTCCTTCCGGGAAGTACATCTTTCGGCTGAACTTCAACGGTTGTGCTCGTCTAGTTACCATAGACGACAGGCTTCCCGCCTCGGGAACCGATAGAGCTCTCTTTGTCACAGATCGACATAATCCTCGGTTGATATGGCCGGCTTTGCTCGAGAAGGCCTACCTCAAAGTACGTGGTGGTTATGACTTTCCTGGCAGCAACTCGGGAACCGATCTCTGGGTCCTCACTGGCTGGATACCCGAGCAATTATTCCTCCAAAGGTATGGCTTTACCCCTCTGGAAATGGAGAGGGCCATCTACTCACATGGTATGAGACAGGGAGGACTTTGACATGGACGAGACTTGGAACAGGATCAAGACAGCTTACGGCAATGGGGATGTCATTATCACGCTTGGCACAGGCCCTGTCTCTACAGAAGAGGAGACTATCATGGGACTCGTAGGAGAGCATGATTATGCTGTGCAGAAGCTGGATCCCTCGAATCGCAGGTTCCTCGTTAAGAATCCTTGGTCGGGCGGCCAATCGTGGACAGGACAAGAGTGGTCTGCTGTTCACGGCTCCGGCAGGGCCAAACTGGGCTCGTCACCCGAGGCAAGTGATTGTGATGATGAATCACCCTGCCGGGGTACACTTTGGCTGGACAGTGAGGATATAGCTCAGCATTTCGAATCCATGTACCTCAACTGGAATCCGGCGCTGTTCACTCATCGCCAAGAGCGTCATTTTGCATGGGAGATCCCCACGACAGATTTTGCGGCGTCATTGGTGCGGAATCCGCAATTCTCAATCACCTCGCCAACAGGAGGAGTGATTTGGATCTTGCTGAGCCGTCACTTCAAAGATGCCGAGCTCGAAATTGCCCGCAACGCAGCTGGTCCTTTGGCTGCCGTGTCCAGTCAACTAGGCTTCATGAGTATTCTTGTCTTTGACCGTCAGGGCCAAAGAGTCCAGCTCGGTGATGGATCGACATACCGCGGGCCATACGTCGACTCTCCACAGACGCTCGCGCGAATCGAGAGCAGACCTGGTAAAGCATACACCGTCGTGGTTGACCAGCAGGCGCTGCCTTTACCCAGCTACACCTTCTCGCTTTACGTTTTTTCAAACGGCTTAGTGCACGTCAAGGAGGCTGAAGAGAAGATGGCATACTTTACGGAACAACGAGGCGCTTGGAACAGACGGACGGCCGGGGGAAACCCGTCATGCACAACTTACTTTCTGAATCCCCAGTACAAGCTGTCGGTCCCTCGCGCCACTCCCGTGTCCATCTTGCTGGCTACAGGCAACCGCGACGTTCATGTACACGTTGATCTGATTTGGGCGCGGGGCAAACGTGTAAATACCGTCAAGGCGAAAGACTTGGTCGTGTCCTCGGGAGAGTATCGCCGTGGCTGTGCCATTGCAGAACTCGCTATGCTCGAGGCTGGAGACTATACCTTGGTCTGTTCGACCTTTGAAGCGCAGCAAATGGCCGAGTTCACATTACGAATTGGCTCCATGACCCCAATTACACTGGAGCCTATACCGGCCGATACGGCGGGGAAATTACGAACACCTCTGCCACCTCTTACTTTAGGCGGAGAAGGCCAGCGTTGGAGGGCCTCCATCGGGGCGTCCTGGGTAACCCGAGCTTTCGTTTCCGTCCGAAGTGTGGCACCTCCGCCAGAGACCTCTTACCACGACACGCGCTCGCCGCCGGGCGTGATGGTTCGAATCTCGATGTCGGATGGTTCGGGTTCGGAGTCCCGGATCCTAGCCGAGTCGAGAGCGGGCTTGGGAGATTCCGGACCAGTCATTCGAACTGCCGAATTTGACATTGAGCCCTCCAGTACGGGTGGCGGCCCCAGATACCTTGTTATAGAGAGTTTGCGGGAGCATCGGACGATTCAAGAGCTCTCTGGAGATGTCTTTAGCGACTCTCCCATCCAGATTGGCGACTGGGAAGCCTAGAGCAAATGCCTTGGATCCGTCCTATTTGGACGCCGTTGGAGCGTGGTCAGCGATGTCCCCTGACAGCGAAGACGAGAGGATGTCTTGTATGATGAGTTTTCGCTAACAAGGCAAGCCGTGAATGTACATGCAATCCATGTAAATACAGTACTATATAGCTAGCCGCATAAACAAAAAGAGCGTTTCGTTATATTACATTATACAAGATTACACATGTGTCAACGCCCTTTCTTAGCTTTTGACGAGGGGCGTTATCTTTGCTGCATTAGTTGCCAGGCCTGCGGCTGATGATGCAGCGATGGCACTTCGCGCCCTCGATACGCTGAGTGACTTCAAGTAACGCAGTAGTAATACAAATAGCAATTCGACCCTAATGAGCAGAGGTTAGGAGAGTGAAATCACGGGCAGAGTAGTATCAAAGGGGGGTCTTACTTTTCTTTTGTCATCATTAAGATGCCCTGGACGAGCAAACCCTTCAAGATCTGAGGTCCCATCCCCTTGAAGAGGCCACGGACACCTTCATGCTGGATGATGAATCGCATCACCTCGATGAAGCTGCTGAATGGCTTTCCGTTCCGTGCCGGAGGCGGCTTTGACTGCAGGCCGACTTTGGCAACAATCAGGGGCTGTGTGGCTATGGTTGCTAGGGCCTTGGACATGGCGCCCAGAACTGGAAAATGGATTGTTAGATGCAGTTCGGCAGTTAGAGGCTGTGGCCGGATCATATAGCGACTTACGGAACGCCTCCCAGGGCTGCAGCTTCGACTTTCCAGGGAAGAAGATGGTCTTTAGTCGCTCGTAGGCACCGTATGTGATGGCCGGGTTCACGACGAGAACAAGACTGGCCTTGAGGCCCCTCCAAAGTCCGCTGACGCCGTCCGGGCCCTCGATGACTTCCTGGGCCGTCGCGAGGAGGCCCTTCCTATCCGCCTTGGAGGCGGTCTGCTGGCGCGTCGTGACGACGGCGACGGGGATGGTGAAGAGCTGCGCCAGCGCGCCGGCGGCGGCGCCCAGCGAGAGCTCGACGGCCGTCGAGGGCGGCGGCGCGGAGGGGCCGGCGGACTTTGTGTAGAGGGTCCTGGCGACGGTGTACCAGTAGAAGTAGGCAAAGTTGGTGGACGCGACGCCCACGAGGGAGCCGTTCATGCCGGCGTAGAGGCCCTGGATGCCTTCCTCGGCCACGATGCGCGAGATGGCGTTCCATGTCGAGGTGTAGTGTTCGGCGCCGCCGCCGCCGCCGCCTGGGCTCTCGGTCTTGCTGTCGCTGGAGGAGCGCACCTGGACTTGCAGGCGAGTCTTTACGCTGTTTCGCACAACACACACACACACGTCAATTAAGCGGTTCCATGTGAAGAGCTGCGGGTTCGAGGGACTTACATGTCGAGAGGATATACCAGGGCGTTTGCGATGACGGCTCCCGTTGCGCCGGCGACGGCGCCTCCCCAGGGCGAAATGGCAGGCTTGGACTGAGCCATTGTCGAGGAGCGGCGATTAGATTAGATTTCGATGCAGCATGTGCTTGTTCCCTGCCTTCACGTGCGAAGCAGAGTGCTGAGATCAGATATCGTTCCACAGCTTCAGTTGGACATGCAATGAGGCAAGAAAGAGATGAAGCAATCCAGCAGCAAGAGTTGCTATTCCTGAGATAATGGAATCTAGGATTATGCAAAAGCCAAGTCCAAGTTTTTTGGTTATGTCACTCCGGTTCAGGATGCCACGATTAGATAGACCTCGGCTGCTGGATCTTCTCGCGAGTCGTCGATGCGGAACCGCGCCGGCGTGGATCCGTGGGCTGCTAACCGAGGTCAGCAGACGGTTAACGAGGAATTCCAGAAGTCATGTCGTAGTATGAGGCTGCGTCTCTTATTATACTATACGACTTTGATGAATTGTATCCAGGTTATCGGTTCATTCAGATCGGTTACTATTAGTACTAGAAGTCGGATTTCATGTGTCTGGTTGCCATTGCTTAGAAGTGCCTTTTGTACTCGTATGGTGTCTGTTCACGCTACTTCGCATAAGGTACAACAACCCAACCAGCCCCTGGTCTTCCACTCTTTGACATCAACGTCAAAAGCCCACCCGTGATCCCGCCGCGTCTTGCCGCTTGTTCCATCCATGTACATACATACCGATCGACCCCAGCATCTTCCCTTGCCTTGTACATACATACAATATCAACACACAATCTCAAGCCCGCTCTCGCTCAGCAGGGCAATACCCCAGGCCCAGGCACAGGCATTGGTAGTATAGGTACACACATCGTCCACGCCTTACATCAGGCCCCGAAGCTGTCCTCAGCATCGTCGAGGATATTCTACCTCACATAGCACAAGCACCATGGCACCTTGGCACCACACCTTATCACGGCCATTCGATGCGTCGATTTGCACTAACGACTGATTGGGCCTGGTCGTCTATGCGGCACGGCTCTCGTCGTGGCTGTACATTCGCGCCTCTACCTGTTAACCTACCCATGAGCTGACGGAAGCTCGCCGGCATCCTCTCTGTCAAAAAACCTGTGTACCTGACTGGTAGCTGTCGAAGCCGTGCTGGGGCCCGGAGTCGCACCAGCACCAATGGCGCAGCAGCAGCAAGCAGGTCTCACGGCTTATCGACTTGTCTGTCCTTGTCAGTCCTGTCAGTGGCATCTCAGCTGTCCAGTCCAGTGCTGTGCTGTCTGCAGAAGTCCGACAAGTTCTTTTCCCCCCTCCTCGCGAATCCCGTGCCTTTGCTACCTGAACATGGCCGTTCTGACTGCATCCAGCAACGCGCTCGCTCTCAATTGACTTTGACAGCAAACCCCCTTCCGTCTTCTGCCTCTCCTCTATCAAAGTCGTCTCCTTTGGACAAGCTCACGGGCTGCCAGCGGGGGCCATCTCGCAGTCTCGCCATCACACAAGCCATCGATCACAGACGACGACAGTCACGGGTATCCATCCGCCAGGCCCTGCTCGAATGCGACCTCGCAGTTCTCTCTGCTCTGCCGGTATGCGCTAACAACCCACTTGCCGCCTAATTGTCCATCCCCCGCCATCATCCAACCCTCTCGGCTGAGACTTTGCCCATCAACAGTACCAGCTCGCTGCTCTCCTTTTGCTTGAACCGATCCAGCTCGAGCGAAGCCCCCATTCGCGTGTCGTCGGTCGCATGTTACTGAGGCTGTCTGATATTGGGTTATTGCACCGCATTGTCCCCCATCCGCCTTTTTGGAGTCCTCTCGCCCCCAATCTGCCGTGGTCTTGTCAACCAGTCTACCTATAGCCTTGAATACCTACCCTGTCTACAAGAGGCAAGCTTGGTGTCTGTTAAGAGATATACCCGGCCAGGTTCACGTGCCTCTGCGCAAAGAACAAAACGCGCATAAGCTGCTCGCCGGGGGGGTAGCAGGTCCCCGACACGACACAAGTGGGAAAGGCTGGAAGGAATCCAAGGGACCAAGGATCCGTAGAGACACACTTTAGAGGATCGTTGCGATCCCCCTTCAATCCGCCCGCCCGCCTCCCGGACCCGCGATCGTTCCAGCCAAGCGGCCTTTTCCAGGAATTAATCGAAAGAAGAGGAAGAGAGGAAGAGATAAAGGAGCAGACGACAAGACGAAAGGAGAAAGGTCGGACCAGAGAGCAGGAGAGGGAGAAGAGGAGAGGGCGGCAGACTTCGTGTGCTCCAACGCCGTCAGCTCAATTCCCGAGCAGCAACAGGAAAAAAGGAGCGTCTCTCTCTCTCTCGACCACACCACAGCGTTACCACAGCCCCCCGCATGTCCAAGGGTGCCATGGAGAGCTGACTGATGACCGCTTGGACAACCAAACTATGAACACGGCGCCGCACCGACAAAACCCGTACCAAGGTCAATGCCAGGAACGCTCGATGCAGCTAGATTCCGTCCCCTATGATCCAGATGAGGCTCCTTCACCAGGCACTCCTCAGATGAAAGCAGTGCGTCCCAGACTCCAACTCACAGAGAGCCCTCCTCCGGAAATACCACGCGCTCAAGTCAGTTTCAGCCCTCCTCCCGTCGACGGATTGCCCAAGTCTAATCGGTCAAAGATCGTGCCCGTGGGTGGTGATGAAGTCCTCGTCACTTACCTTGGCGGCGGCCGTCACCAAGACGTAGCCCGGATTGCCGGCCGGGTGGCATTGCCCGGCGGCGACGACAACTTTGAACTCTCTGACGATGATGTCTATCCGCAAAAGAGCCCGCCGCGAGACGCCACCGCCGACCCCTCAGCCGGCGCCGACATCCTCCAGCGCCCGCAGGCCGTCGCTGCCGCTGTTACGGGCGATCACAATAGTCTGCGGGCCGTTGCCGCCGACGCCTTAGCCGCGGGCGGGGACGTCGGACTCTTCCACGGGGAGGATAAGCCCAGCGTTGATCTGTCAGCCTCTACCTACCAGCTTTCCATTCATGACGACGTCGTGTCCAGCCCCAATCGCCACGTCAAAACCCCACCCCTCTTGGGCAGCCGTCTCGGCGCGGCAGACAGCGCATCGCGATCCTTGCTGTCGCCCAGCTTCAGCGAGCTGCCCCCTTTGCTGGACTCGCCCAAGCACGACGGCGCCAATGGGCCAAGCCTACCCTCAATACAAACCACCCTGGGCGACACTCTCAACGATAGGAACCACCACCATGTCGCGACCGAGATCCCGACGCCCAGCGACAACCGAGACCTGCCGAGACGTCACACCGGCGATGCGCGGACGTTTTCTCGGTCTCCCACCGTAGGCGTCCCGCGCTTCTCGTCAATGTCTGCCGGCAGCCATGCGTCGCACCCAATCTCTCCCAGCGAGTCGTATCAGCGCGGCTTTCCATCTCCCAACTCCCTCCCTGCCTCCAGTCCTGACAATTTCGCCGCCAATGGTTCCATACATCGCTCCTCCGTCGATTATGCAAACAGCAAAGCCCCCAGCAAGGCCCTCCAGCCCGGCTACACCATACCTTCTCCTGCTACCGGAGCGTCCGTAGCGGATCGCATGAGCATCGACGGAATTACCAATCCTCAGGTCGGCAGCTATAGTTGCACCTTCGAGGGGTGTACCGCCCCGCCGTTCCAAACCCAGTACCTGCTCAATTCTCACGCCAATGTGCATTCTTCAGCCCGTCCGCACTACTGCCCCGTGCCAGGATGCCCTCGAGCTGAGGGGGGAAAGGGGTTTAAACGGAAGAATGAGATGATTCGGCATGGCTTGGTCCACGATTCTCCCGGATATGTCTGTCCTTTCTGTGCGGACAGAGAACACAAATACCCCCGGCCGGACAACTTACAAAGGTAAGCCTCCCGCACATTTCTTTGCGTCGCAAGTATCCATACCGGTTTATAGGCAGGGCGGGCGTCATTCGTTTCGTCCTGCGTCTAGACCTACCATGCGGGATATGGCGTCAGATGGAGCGGCCGATATTGACTCTCCGTTCATTGCAGACACGTCCGAGTTCACCACGTGGACAAGAGTAAAGACGACCCCTTATTGAGGGACGTCCTAGCACAACGGCCCGACGGCCCAAGCAGAGGCCGACGAAGGAGAGCGCAAGTCTAGGCTCAAGGCCTCTCTGGTCAATGCCAACTTGCGGCACCGTCCGAGTAACGGAATTCACTCGACAGATGTTACTGAACCGATTTCAAAAAGAATACGTTGCATGAGATATCACTGGCGCATACAGGAAAGGAATGGAACTGGTTATACCTATAGTTTGGGTCACAGGAAAGCAAGCATGGAGTCCTGTAGTGGTTATGAGTATTGAAGTTCTTGGGATAATATCACCTACATTAATCGCGGGCTATGGCACACCGGGTTCCAGACAATGAGCCAAGAATTCACTACAAGCGTTCGGTATCTGAATCTGCTGGGAGGTACAAGTATTCTCTCGTTATGTTCTCTTCCAAGTTCTCTTCAACTTCGATTGATCATCAGCTCCAATCTCAAGCTGAAGCTCCTAATAGGCAATTTGGTATCTCTTCGGTTCAGGGAAACCGCGGCTGGCAGGCCATCTTTCGTTCGTCAAAAGGGGGCAGTCGCGCTGCTGCATCGTCTCGGCATCGCTTCCCAGCCGATCACACGAGCACGGAACTGCCCTTGAGTGGATAGAATGACGAGCGTCTCCAGCGCCAGCCGGAGGCAGGAGCGAGAGGAGCGGCAGTGCCACCAGATGGCAACAGGCGACTTTCAACCTTGACGGCCTGCCCCTTCCCTTTAAGGCCTAACAGATGGCCAGGCAGAGGGCAAGTGCACGAGAAGGCAGGAGCAACAATGCGCAGGTTTTTCTTCTGAACATGCACGGCAGTAACTATCCAGGTGCATGAAAGTGAGCCCATTCTCAGACGCTCCCTTCCGAGCGACTCTCGCCCTCACTGAGCAACTTATTGAGTCCATACATCTTCTCTTCTGTAGCCAGCGCACGCTGCTTCAAGTTCTCCCTCTTCACCGCTGCACTTCCATCAGTCGAAGAAGAAGCACAGCTACTAACCTGATTTCCCCCTTCTGCGACTCCAGACACAGAGAGGCTTACTTCACTTCCAGGCCGCACAAGCTCATCTGCACTTCGTCCACCACTACCACACACAGGTTCAGTATCCCCTGCGATGGCGCATCAAGCTGACAACCCGTCGTCCCCTCGGTCGTCGAGCGGAGGAGCCGATTCCTTCAAGGGAACGCCCGACACTCGACTGACCTCGCTGACCCCAGACGAAGGCTCAAAGTCTAGCCTGCTCAAAAGCTTTGCCCGCTCAGCTGCTGCCACCACGTCGCCGGCGAGGCTTCCTACCAGCAGCTTTCGCAATGCGGTATCGCACCTGGACAAGGACCCCTTCATCACCTCCATCCAGGGCGTCGGCACGAGGTTGTCCCCCACGGCCTCGGCGTTCAGCCCTTTTGGCGGCAACACTTACGTACGCTTGCCCACGGGAGACGGTCCCATCTCCGCTGCCCTGAGCACCGATATGGGTTTGTCGAGGATCCTCTTCATATCCTCGCCCGCTCAGGTTTCCGCGCGCGAGGTGGAGGCTCTTCTGACGGTATGTATGCCCGAGATCCCTCACTCACTTGGCGATTACTGACGAATGATGTGTTGCGCTTCAGGAGCTGGGACAAGATGGCAGTCCTACTTATGGCGCCAGGAGCCTCAAGACTCACAGTGCCGGTGTGTTTGTGTATTTTACAGACATCAGAGACGCTTGTGCCACACAGACGAAGCTTCACCAAGTTGACAAAGACTGGAAGATTGCCTTTGCCAACCCGACACGCGTGGGCCAAACTCAAGGCACTCACCTGGACATGGGCCACAGCGCAGGTAAGCCTGATTTCCGCCGTCGAATGGAACCGGACGCTGATCATGATTTCTGTAGTCGGTCTTTCTCACACAGGTCAAATCCAAATCTTTGCCGCGGTCCCGCCAGGAGCTGTCATCGACCCAGTCCAAACTATGGGAGTGGCTCATCGGTTTTTGCAGTCACACGGCCGCTTGTTTGCCTTTGTCCGGCTGTCCACCTTCCCCAACGGCTCCTTCAGGGCTGTTGCTGAGTTTTGTGACACTACCGCTGCCTTTCCTGTCATACAAGCTTGTAGCGGCGGTGTCTCCACAGAGGTTTGTCGTTCTCATCTACCTTACGCAAGCAGTATTCACGTTAACATTTTCATCTGCTTAGGGCGTCCAAATCTTTGCATCAGCATACCACTTGGACAGTCTCTCTGCCTCGGGGATCACCGAAGCAATGGAGGACTTGAGTGTCAACAAGAGAGCAGATGATGCCGACCAGCGTCTTGGCTCTGTGAGCCCCAACTCGTCTCAGGCTGGACAAAATGACCAGCACTACAACGCGCCTGTTGCCATGTACCCGCTGATGTTTCAGACGCCGTTCACTCCTGCCGTGCCCTACATGCTGGATTCCTTCCTTCCGGCAGCCCAGACAGGCTCTAGCAGCCCATTGACGCCGTTCACTCCTCAGTACCCCATCTTTGGAACTGTGTATCAGACGCCACCCTCCCCAGCTCTCACAGCTCAGAACAACTACAGTCCCTCTAGGAACTTTTCGGGTGCTGAGAGAGCAGATGCCCGTCGACAGAATGCGATGCGGGTCAGCCGATCCACCTATCACAGCACCACGACTCATCATAATCATGTTGACATCAACCGCATTCGTGATGGCATCGACGTTCGCACTACGGTGAGGTCAGCCCCGATGTATTCTTGTGTGCTTGCTGACTCCCTTCTCTCTCTCATTCAGATTATGCTTCGAAACATCCCCAACAAAGTAGACCAAGCCATGCTCAAAAGAATTATTGACGAGTCCAGTTGGGGAAAGTACGATTTCATGTACCTTCGCATCGATTTTGCCAACGACTGCAAGTAAGTGAATTCAGCTAGTCGTTCATTCAGCGTCACGCAAGCAACTAACGGTCATGGCAGCGTTGGATATGCATTCATCAACTTTGTAGACGTGAGTCCCCCTTCTCCCAGATACAACATTCCCTATTACTAACTTTATATACAGCCTCTGGATATAATCGATGTCAGTACAAGTCTGGTCACTTTAATCTTTGGAATAACATATACTGACTCAAACACACAAGTTTGTCAACGCCCGCGGAAACCAACGCTGGTATGCCCTGTCATTCGGCTGCCCCCATTCATTGTTCAACATGCTAACATTTTTATCTAGGAACTGCTTCAAAAGCGACAAGGTGGCAGAGATTTCGTATGCCAGTAAGTTGAGCTGGGCGTTTCTTTTATGCCGCCCATCTGCTGACGAAGCTATACAGCCATTCAGGGAAAAGACTGCCTAGTGCAAAAGTTTCGAAATAGCTCTGTGATGCTAGAGGCACCTCATTATCGCCCAAAGGTAGGCATCTGCCGAATCTCACCTTTTGCATATCTATTTGAGGCAGTGACTAACACTGAATAGCTGTATTATACTTCGAATGGCCCGATGCCAGACCTTGCCGGACAAGAAGAGCCGTTTCCCGAGCCCGACAATCAGTCAAAGATGAAGCGAAGCTGCGAGAATGCCGAGCATGTCGGTGAGTCAGACACGTGCGCTTGCTTTCTAGATGGCGTCGAGCTGACCTTTTCCAGGACTCTTCACGCCCAACGCCGGACAGCACTTTCGCGATGAGCAGCGACGCCGACGATCTCAATATGACCGAGGCACTCGCCTTGCGGCCCTTGAGGAGTACGACTATGAGACAGCCATACAGCACCTTTACGGCAGCACGGCTTAGTAGTGAGTGAGGGTTTGACTAACTTGCCCTTGGTCGGCAAAAGGACATGATTATTTTGCGAAATCCTTGAAGTTACTGATTTGATTTGTGATGATTGTTTTTCTTTTTCTTTTCTCCTTTTTTCTCTTTTTTCCTCATCATGGTCAACTCACTTTGCTATATACCGCTCGAAAAGCCATGATTTTTCACACGTCAGATGAGAAACGCACAGTTGAACTGGAGCAGACACGTCCGTTTGCACTTTAATATACATTTCATTCAATCAAAACTCCTAAACACGCTTTTGTATCAATGCCATGAGGCTGCAATCTAGTATTCCCGCAGCGGCAGCAAAGAGCTCATGGGAGAATTAACTGCATGCTTGGCAGCTCGTACTTGCTACTGGAGCCTATTCTGAATTCTAAGAGTCCTGTGTTGCCGCCGAATGTTCGGGAAGAGAAGGGAGAGGCTTTCGCGGCGAGGTGAGATGGGCGGCAGTCGGTTGGTGAAGGGAATGAAATCGTGACTCTTGGTCTAGGTAGTGAATATCTGAGAGCTTGCCGTCACTGTAGGAGCTTGATGTGGTAAGCGAGGAGTGGCGTCGTGGAGGCTCCGTTGAGCCTGTTTCATGGATTGTCTGGTGGGAGTCTGTCGTTCCTGGTGAAGAGTGCGCCATTCGTCTACTTGGTACGTTTGGCCCGGCTTCAAAGGAGGAGACATTGACCCTTGGCACATTGTTTGGCAACGGTTGCTCATCTGGTCGAACGACAGGATCCGGTTTATAAAGGCCATGCGATCCATGGCCGGAATACGGCGACGGCGAGGTATAGGAGAACCCGGCAGCTTGTTCCTGCAGGGCCGCGAGGTAAGGGATGGGGACTCCGCGGGAGAAGATGACGAGAAAGAGGCAGGAGAGCAGAAGGATGGCCTGGACGATGGCCATGCGCTTCTGGAAGACAACTTCGTCGGCCAGCAGGTTGAGCCTTGTGCTCAAGGCTACGATGTCGCGCTCGGACTGCTCTCGCTGACTTTCGAGGGCGAGCACGGTCGACTGCCATATCTGCTCATACTGCTCGCGCACATTGCGCATCTCGGCGAGTACGGTATGATTGAGGTCTCCCAAGAAGCGGGTCAGCTTGGATACTTGCTTCTGCTCCGTCTTCTGCAGGGCATCCTGCATGAACCGCGACTGGTCCTCGACGTACTTGAGCGACAAGGTGAGATTGGTTTCGACCTGCTGCAGGCGCTTGGTGATGGAGTTGAAGAAGCTTGCTTGGACGGTTGGCGTGGCGGCGGAGGCGCTTGCGGTCCCGCTGCTTCGGGGCTTTCCTGTCCCTGCGGCTGTACCTGAGGCGTCTGAGGCGTCTGCCGCGGTTTGCGCAGTATCAGCGGCGGGTTTGGTAGAGTTCGTCTGCTTCACCGGCGGGGCAGTAGAGGCATCGCGAGCTTGCGTCACGTTTGACCTCAGATGCTCTGACGGCGCAGGATCTGGACCCAAGGCACCGTCTTTACTCTGTCGCTGGACTGCTTCGCCAGTCGGGCTGGAGCTGGGATCCCCCGGTCTGCCGTCAACACCAGAGCCCGGGGACGCAGCACATGTCGCTGACAGATGGTAAAAAGGACCTTCGTCTAGAGGCGGTAGAGAGGTAGGCGCCTGAGCTGGAGGAATCTCATCATCGTCTCTTGTCTGTGAGGCGTTGGTTTCGACTACTGCGAGTGGTGGAGTCACAGTGGTCGTAGGAATAGGAACAATCTCCTCTGCCTCCTCCTGCTGCTCCTCTTCCTCCTCGAGGGCCTCATCTTCTCGGCCCGTCTCACTGTCTTTCCAGGAATCAAGCATCCTCGAACCATGGACCCGGAGCAGAGACACGGGACAGTAGTACTCATTCCCGTAGTGTGTCAGGAACTCAATCCTGACATATTTGGCCCAGATCTGAGGGTTCTGTACAAGAAAGGCCTGGATGTCGCGCGAGTTCGCAGCTTCAAATATCCCAATTTCTCTCCATTTGTCTATCTTGACGGGGTATCGATCACTGACACTGACGCGGAAATGACGAATCATACTTGAGAAGAACTCAAAGTTGGCAATGACGATGGTGTCGATGAGGATGTCGTCGCTCAGCTCGACGATGACATACTTGTTTTGCGCAGCACATTCGAGGAGCATATAAGAATCCTTGTTTTCCACCAAAATCGCTTTCGCGTTCTTGGCTTGCGGCCCTGCCTTGAGAATGGTAGCGCCTGCGTCGAACGAGGAGTACGAGAAGCGTTCCTTGCAGGTCTTGCCTGCGTCTTTGCTGCGGTGGATGGGTGCTTTGCCGTCCTTGGGCACCAAAGCCTCGTCAGCATCGTCGGCGCTGTTCGAATTCGCAGAGTCCGCATAGGTTCCGGTTCGAACGCCGTCGCCCTCGCCGTAATCAAACGTCAGAGATATTTCCCCTTCCTCTCCCAAGGCCTCTTCCACGTCGGGAGAAGGCCTGTCGCCTTTCTGGCGCCCGCTCGAGTTCCGAAGATGCAGGTCTTGGGGATCCTGCCCGGTTTCCTTGAGCATCATCTCCTTCCAGTCCTCGAATGACATGAACGGCGTCGCCGAGGCATCGCTTGCGGGCGTCTTTGCCAACGTGTCCGTGGGTGTTGTAGCGGATGGGGAAGCCTGCTCCTCCTCTGCGGCGGATCGCGTGACATGCTGTGTAGCATCATCATCGCTTCTCGTGGCCGACGACGCGGTCGATGTCGGTACTGAGTCCGTCCATGAGCTCTTGAAGCAGAGCGACGGCAGCGAGTGTGTAATGTAGTTGATGGTGCGTACGTCGCATTGGCCAGGCGCACTCTGGGCGGAGGGCTTCACGTCAGCCTGCACAAGGTCGCTTGACAGGAGAAGGAGAAGGAGACCGCCGTGCCAGATACACGAGGGGAGGATCATGGTAAGTTGTATGGCAAGTCATTGATAAAAGGGCCCTTGGCGGTTGTCCAAGGCAAAGAGGTGGCCATGTCACTAGAAGAGAATAATGGACATGATAGGGCACTTTATGGCCTGCGAAGTACTATTTTCGGTACTTTTGACGAACAAGCGCCTTCTCCGCATTATTGGGGGCATGCCAACGCTGGTCCTTGATTCACTACCTACCTTATGTACTGTGCATTCGCGACAAGGGAGCCCTGGAGCCTTTTACGAAGGTAGGTAGTACTGGTAGGGAAGCAGGTATTTAGGAATCCTTTGACTACCTTTACCTATTTTCCACGAAGCTATGCGCCTGGATTCACATGCCAATTATACCTAGAAGGATGTTTAGGTACTTGTGATATTAAGCTGGAACCTCCAGACGACCTGAATTCAGTTACAGCAGCGTTGACCTTGAGTTGCTCGGCAGGAGCGTGCCTTGCGCAGATACCGAACTAAGCAATAAATCATTATGGATCCCGTGTCTTAGTAATGCGCGGTCGATGCGGAAGTGGCAATGGTGCAGCATGGCATGACATCGCATTGCAGGTACCAAATACGGCGCACAGGTAACACATTAAACGTAAGGCAAGGTAGCCCGACTCCGATTCACCTGCCGGCGGCTTACATGTTATGTCGCCTGCGAAAGGCCACCTCAGCGATTATCAACTTTGCGACCCAAACGTCTTCCCATCGCCAACGATTCTTCCCGCACCCATCGAGGCCGTCTTTTCCTCTCCCCATACGCGCATGATCCCTTGCAGCCGTTGCCTTGCCTAGATGGATCAAGTCATAGGCGGCGATCGCCTCCCGCTGGAAACATGGTTCTGGGAGATGCCCACATGCACGCGGTGGTGGACGGCGGCGACGGTTCTGACGAGCGCCCTCGTCCAATGCCACATGGTGACTCCATTCCAGCTATTCTATAGCTTCAGAGCCGTCTTTATCAAGTCACAGGTTGGTTGAGCCTCCGCCATTGCTTCTTCGAAAGGTATTGCTAACAGCTGAGCTCGGTTAGTATTGGCGACTGTTGACGACGTTTCTCTACTTCGGCCCCTTCTCACTCGACCTCCTCTTTCACATATACTTCCTACAACGCTATGCACGACTACTGGAGGAATCCTCGGGGAGATCGGCCGCATATTTTTCCTGGCTTCTCGTCTATGCGATGGCCAGTCTGATTGTACTGTCGCCGCTGGTTTCCATGCCATTCCTCGGCCATCCGCTGTCTTCCACCCTCGTCTACATTTGGTCTCGCCGCAACCCCGACACCAGGCTTAGCTTCCTTGGTTTGCTGGTCTTCACGGCGCCCTACCTGCCGTGGGTGCTGATGGCCTTCAGTCTGTTCATGCACGGCACCGTACCGAGGGACGAGATCATGGGCGTCGTTATCGGCCACATCTGGTACTTTTTCAACGACGTCTATCCACCCTTGCACAACAACTCTAGGCCGTTGGACCCCCCAGGCTGGTGGAGGCGATTGTTCGAAGGTCGCAGGTCGGAGGACGATTCCGTCACGGATGTCAACGACATCGTGGGTGCAGCAGGAAGGGACATCGCTGCAGTCAACGCGTGGTAGCATTCGATAACAAGAGTGTTTTTTCCCTTCTCTCATGTCTATCAAGGCAACTCACTGGGTTGCAATGCAGCCTACCTGTATGTATATAGGAATAACAAGGTGTACTCTACTGAGGCAGTGAGGTATATATGACGGATACGGCAGCTATCCATATGAGAAATGAATACAAATAACAACTGATCGAAAGACACTAGAGTTTTAAGAAACTATTTATGGGTTCTACCGACTTATTTATAATGATGCAGAAATAGTACTGTCAAGACTAATATCGTCACTGTCAACACTAAGGTGTTCGGGCCAAAGAAGCAAGCTTACTATACCACCTTTGAAGTTATGTAATCGTTCCTTATCGATTGTGTGGAGAAGATGGGTACCTAAATATTGACTGGGCTACATGTGACGACGAGCTCATGGATGGAGTGAGCTCCTGATAGCGAGCAAGTTCGTTTCTTGCCGAAACACCATGTTCAGGTCTCGCACCAGCTGATATACTGTCGATTCTCTCACATTCATGGCCAACACATCACTGCTGCCATGATATCTCCATGCTACTAACGACCAATTCTGACCGGATGAACCGCGTGCAACTAATCTCCGTTAGAAGCCGCCACGATGCAAGATGAGCTTCTTCCCTCGGAGGTTGAGCAAGTTGAATCGGTTAGTGCTCACGAGAGTCGACGGGACTCAACGGCCCTTGAAAGCATCACTGCTAATTGTGACGAAGCTGATTCTTTCTCTCTATGAACCAGCCTCTCCTAGCCAAATCGCCAAAACACAGTCAACGCTGTCACGGCTCCAGAGCTCACCACAAGCATGGACGCTTGCTCACCACCTGCTTGGGCGCCCAGATGACAAGGTCAAGTTTTTCGGCGCCCTTACCATCATCGTGAAGCTCAACACCGAAAAGTATGTTCCCCATCACCGTGCCTATGCGCCGAGCTCTGACATTGGCCAGTGCATCTCTTTCCGACGCCGACGCCATAGAGCTCCTTGTCTCGCTGTTGGAGTGGTACATGGGCTCTCTCCAGCAAAAGACCGGGTTGCTCGTTGTACGGAAGCTTTCATCTGCCTTATCCACGTACTTTGTCTACTTCCACAGGCTTTGTAGCCGCATCATCTTCCATCTCCTAGTTTGTCTCGCATCGAACCGGGCCTGGCAGCCTGGTGCAATCGACGACTCGGTGGACTTCAACGCCATTTCTGAGAGACTTTCTGGGGTTCATCTACACGCGGCTATCCTGGTTATCAGCAACATTCTCGAAGACGTTACTCGCATTGACTTGAACGCAGCAAGCAAGTATGAGATGCCCTCTCCCATGGCAGCTATGTTGCAGTGTCACTAACTCGAACAAGCGTTGGGCTCTACGATTCAGTTCTTGCCAACACTTCAGATTCAGTCACTCTCATAGCCATGTGCATGAGCCGAGATGACGCTTCTCCAGAGGTCAAGCAAGATGCACTGAGGTGCCTTCAGGTGAGTGACTTTCGTGTGACCTCAGACATTCCAGACGGCGCAGAAAAGCTGACGGGTGCGCTCAAGTCCTGGGTCACCTTTGCTCAAAAAACATCCGCGCGAAACAGCTACATTGCAGACTCGCTGCGGCCCCTTATCGGAGGCTCTATCAATGCCTTGATGGTCGAAGAACTGTACAACGCAGCCGCGGAACTACTCATCGATGTGCTCTTCAACTGGCCTTCTTTGTTAACCGAGCAGCACTACATGATGCTTTCTAACCTGTTTGATACGCCGTGGTTTCAGAATCGATACGACCTGCTGGTTCAAGGTGACGTTGATTTCGAATCGACGCAGCTCGGGTATGTGCTTCTCGCATACGGCGAAGCCAAGATGCAAGCCCTGATACAAGATGAGAACGACCAAAACCGGAGCATACTATCAAGGCTATGTGGTCTCCTTGCGGCGGATGGCTACCCCGTTGCTGAGAACAAGATATTCGTCCCGGCCATCGAATTCTGGTCGACGTTCACCGAATCTGTCTCGGATATGGATGTGGAATCTGCGCTCACGATTCAGTTCATCTTTGAAGCTACGTCACACGCATGGAAGAAGATAATCTACCCTCCGGCAGAGGAATTTCACTCCTGGGACTCTGGCGATCGCATTGGGTTCAACGACGCACGGAAAGATGTAGTGGATTTCCTACAAGCCGTCTATGTCTTGATCGGACCAAAGCTCGTCGAGACTTTTTCTTCACTGATATTGACCACATTGAGTAACTCAGCCTGGCTCGAGCTGGAGGCAGCTATATTCTGTCTGGGAGGCTTGGCTGACTGCAGCCGGGAAGACGCGCGCTGCGATGGCTCCCTTGCCGCTGTTTTCTCGTCGCCACTGTTCTCGGTGCTTCAGAGCGGCCAGGAACATGTCCCGGCTCGAGTAAGACAGACTTGCCTCACCCTTATCGAACAATACACAGAATACTTTGAAAGGAATACCCACCTTCTTCCTACCGCACTTGGTCTCTTGTTCAACGAGGTTCCGGATCACTCCATGGCCATACCAGCATCGAAATCCATTCATCGACTCTGCTCATCTTGTCGCTCACATCTCTATCCTGAGATGGACAACCTCCTCGCCGAGTATCGAAAGTTGGTAGCTACAGCGACATTAGATTGCATATCTCGCGAGAAGATTATAGGCGCTCTTGCGGCCATTGCACAAGCTATTCCAGGGGATGATGAGCGGTATGACGCGTGCTCAGGATTGCTTGCTTTTATCCAAGACGACGTGCGGAAATCTTTGGAGCTGGCCAATGTTCCAAACGACGGAGTACTGCCACAGCAGATGGATAATCCCTGCCCAGATATCACACCGGAAGAGCATGCTGGATTGCACGTGGGCCTCAGGGCATTGAGGTGTCTAGCAAGCATGGGAAAGGGTCTGCAGTCCCCTCCAGACTTGGCCATTGACCTCGAAGCTTCGTCTCCCCCAAAGGAGCAAACGCCCAAGTTGGTCGAGCTTCAGAAACAAGTGATAGGCATCATCATTGAGATTCAGAACGCGTTCAATGGCAGCTCGGAAGTCACGGAATTGATATGCAGCGTGCTCCGCAGCGGCTTTTCTGAAAGCGAACCGGGGCCGTTTGTCCTGACTCCTGAGGATATAGTAGGCTTTTTGGTGGGACACTCAAAAGACACGCCCCGGATTGGTGTTATTGTTAGCATGGCGTGCTCCTTTGTTAGTTCCCTGTCTCCTCACAGGCTAGGACAGTATCGAAAGATACTCTCTGATGTACTGGGCTGGTTGATTGGGTTGTTGAAGCAGCTTCCTGGTAAGGCACTATATATCCCTCTGTCGAGATTGGAATGTCAGGAACCCTCATTAACACGTGAGAACAGAACCGGCAGCAGATCCGGAACTCGTGCAAAACGGTATCGATCTCGTCAGCCGGCTGGTGACTAGAAGCCCGGGCACCTTTATTGGGCTGGAGCCATCAGACGCGATCGAGTTCTTCTTCCTCTTCACACTCCAAGTGCTGGATGGAAAGGAGCCTTTGCCCAAGGCGGCCGCTGCAGAATTCTGGGTGCGGAATAGTGGCCTCTTACCTTGCATCACGATGGTATCTGTGCAGTTAAGCTAACATGCCTGATAGACTGCGTTTGTCGGAACCCGGGCAGATGAGCCGGAGCTGCAAGAAACCTTCAAGAGGGCCATGGACATGCTCGGACCGCTGCTGGCCCAGTCCCTTGCCCGGAACATTGGAGGCAATGCCCTACGTAGCGAGCTTGATCGGTTATGCGAACCGCTGAGGAAGCTCGTGAGCAGATATCCAATGGCGAAGGAATGGCTCCAGTCCGGGCTGGACCATCCTTCCTTCCCAAGCCAGAAGGTCGATGCAGAGCAGAAATCGCTCTTTGTGAAGAAGATTATCAGGTACGCTCCATCATGAGGCTGTTTCACGAGAGCCACACTAATTCATCCCAGTCTCAGGGGTTCCCGAACGACAAACCAGGTAGTCAGAGAATTCTGGCTATCCGCCAGAGGTGCCAACTTTGCATACGCTTCATAGTCAACGATGCCTGGCATACCATCAGAAGAAGCGGAAGGGAAACGGAGATACACCATAGCATAGATCTGCAGCCGCACGCTGCCCAAGTAATGTTGTCTGCCGAAGAGTGGCTGGCCAATGCTGGCAATTCCTATCATACACATACTCATACACATAACATACATATGCCTCCTCTACCAGGATCTTACACGCAAGGTCAAAATTGAAGACGCTAATTCCGCAAAATACTCGCTACAGACCAACCGCCGCCTTCACGATATCCATGGTTTCCTTTGCGCTCTGCTGAGCTTTTCGTGCGCCCTGCTGCTCTATTGTATCAAGGTACGAGTCATTTGCACTGAGCTCGAGATACCGATCTCGGATGCCGTCTAGCCCGGTCACCAGCGCGTCCGCAACGGCTTCCTTGAAGATCTTGGGCGAAGCTTCAGCATATTCTTGAGCTAGCTGGGCTGGGGTGCGTCTTTCTGAGTCAAAGACGGAGAAGATTTCCAACAAGTTGGAGATGCCTGGGCGCGTGGCGGGATCATATGAGATGCCTGGCGTTGAGTCCGTCAGGGCGCTGGCAATCTTGGAGCGGATCTCTTGCGGGGTGTCGGTGATGAGAATCCTCGACCGCGGCGCTGGGTGAGACTTGGACATTTTACTTGTGGGTTCCGTCAGGGACATGATGCGCTGGACGGGGGCTGTTCTATGAGTGAGCTGACTGCGGATGCTAGAAGAAGTGAGGGGGTTTGTTGTTGGAACAACATGGCAAGCATACAGACTATGGTTTCGGGATGGACGAGGTGACTCCCGTACGCATGGTTGAAGTTTGTGACGCATTCGCGCGCAAACTCCAGATGCTGCTGCTGGTCATGTCCAACAGGTACATGAGTTGCCCTTGCAATACACATCATCAGTCACACTATCCGCTTGCTTGTTCGTTTGTTTGCCTGCTCGTTGAATAGCAGCAGCTGCAATATTAAGAGAAAGGGACCCTTGGCCAGGCTTACCGGTGGACAAGGATATCAGCAGCTTGGAGCACTGGGTATGAGAACAAGCCCAGCTTCAGCCTGGAGCCGACAGACTTGTTCTCGAGCGACGAGGACGAGGCCAGACTAAGCTTGCTCTGAGGGCGCATGTCAACATGGGAACGAACTCGGTCTGCTGTGCCAGCAGCTGGAGATTGCAAAAGCGGCCTAATCTAACCTTCCACTGTGTCATCCTCGACAGATATCCTACGGAGGCCGTACAGGCAAGAATCCACATGAGCTCGGAGTGAGCCGGTACCTACAGGCGGAGGCGTTAAAAAGTCATGAAAACTTGCTGTGCAGGGAAGAAGAACAAGAGCTCAGGGGGGGGAAGGGCGTTAACACACAGAGGACTGGTAGAAGATGGTGCATCTCTCGGGATCGAGGCCAATGGCGAGCAGGGCAGCCAGGACCTCCCTCTTGCGCTGCCTCAGCGTCTCGGGCGGCTGCGGCACGGTGATGGCATGGAGGTCCACGATGGAGTAGATGAGCCTCGTCGACGGCGGCTCGTCGCGCTGGAGGCTCACCCACTGCCGCAGGGCGCCGACGTAGTTGCCCAGGTGCGGCACGCCGGTGGGCTGGATGCCGGAGAAGACGACGCGAGGCTGCACGGCGGCCTGCTTTGCTACGGCGGCGGCCAGGCGCTGCATTCTATGCTCAGCGAGAAGCTTTCAATTCAGCTTCCTCTAATTTCCTGCCTTAAGATGAAGCTCTCTCTTCCTCCTCTTCTCTCTGCTTTTTGTTGCTCTGTTAGTGGTGCTCTATATCTTTGTTCTAGCAGTGAGTGACTGGGAAGGGAAAATTGATGAGATGAACAGTTGGTTTGGAGGCATCGTCGCATGATTTGGAGCAGCTATTGGCGCTAGTGGTTTATTTACAGCTGGTAGGTACCAAGATTGGGAAAATTGGAGACCTCTTTCTTTGGCTTCCATTTACACCTGCTATTACAAGCGGCACGTCATCATACGTAGGCGCTGCTCGTCCAAACGTTTGGGGAGTAAATACACAAGATAGACAGACTGGTATCTTTACATATAGAGGCAAAGACAGAAAGAGGCAAAGACAAAAGCGAATATGCAATCAAGCAAAGCTCAAGGACCAGGGACCAGAGACAAGAAATCAGGGATGGATCCACGATTACACGGCCGCAGAATCGGCATTCACTTCCATTTCGTCGTTGCCCTGCTCTGAATCGGGCAGCGACGCAAAGTTGAGATGCTTCCAATCCTCCAGCTCCTCCGTGACGGATCGCATGCGGTCCCTGATGCTCTCAATGGCGTAGCTGCCCAGCAGCAGCCGCAGCGGCGGGTACGAGCAGTGGCCCAGCTGCCAGACCAGCTCGGCGCACTTGACGGCGCTGGTGGGCTGGCGGTCGCCCAGCCACTGCACCATGCGCTTCGCGTGGAGGGCCGGCGACGTTGCCGTCGAGTAGTGCTCGCTGGGCGGCTTGATGAAGAAGTGGCCCCAGGTGGGCAGCGGGTTGGTGTCCGAGTCGGGCTCATCGCGGCGCACCAGCCCGGGCTCGATGAGCGTCGCCTTGACGTGGAAGGCGTCCGTCTCGTAGAGCATCGCCTCGATGAGGCCCTCGACGGCGTACTTGGAGGCGCAGTAGGGGCCCAGGCCGGGGACGCCCAGGGCGCCCGAGGTCGAGCTGAAGATGAGGTAGCGGCCGGCCTGCTGGCGGCGGAAGTAGGGCAGCGTGGCGTGGATGATGTGCAGCGTGCCCATGAAGTTGGTCTCGAACTGGTTGCGTATGTCGTGCTCGTCCTGGTCCTCGCAGGCGCCGATGACGCCGTAGCCCGAGCAGTTGGCCACCACGTCGACGCGGCCGAAGCGGTCCATGGCCTGCTGGAAGACGCGGATGACCGAGTCGCGCGAGCGCACGTCGCACAGCAGGCCCAGGCAGTTGTCGTGGATGCCCTGCATGTCCTCGAGCCGCGTCTCGAAGACGCGGCCGACGGAGGCGACGAGGTCGCCGTGGGAAAGGGCGCTCTTGACGAGGGATCGGCCCATGTGGCCGGTGCCGCCAAAGATCTACCGGGCGCCGTCAGTGTGGATTCTCATCTCTGTCAAGGACGTTGATCAAGGGCAAGACGAACAATCCAGACCAGCTGCTTCGTCGGCCCGTTGGGCGCAGGCGGATCGCAGCTTGCGGGCAGATGCAACCGCGGCCTCGGCGGCCCTTCGCTCGACTCGCTGCGAGTCTCCATTGGATTACAATTATTCGTCGACAAACCAGAGTTGAGATGCCGGAGCGAGTTGAAGTCTGTATGCCTCTCGCGAGGCCAGACGATCGGTAAGGGCGTGAAACGATTCCAGGAATACCGTGTGAATTATTCTGCCATATCGCCTCCCAAGAGAATGAGGCGTCCAATGCCAGTGCCGGTGGAATTGATCGAGGCGGTCGGGCTGAGATGCGAAGATGCAGCCATCTCGCCTGAATAGGAAGAGGACCGTGGGCTAGACTGTCGGATTAGCTGCAGAGTTCGTTGTCATCTTTTTTGCCCGGCTTTTTCTGTTGCTCTTTATGCAGGTGGTGACTTTTTTGGACATTATTGCCACTGGCGACATGGTGGTGATGGTTGATGGGGGGAAGAGGTTCACGTGTTGGGGGTTTTATAGCAGCTGCATCTCAGTGCACAGGCAAGACAGGACAATCAAGCAATTGCTAACAAGTTCCTCATATCCAATATCTAAGATAATTGCTATTCTAAGCTGGGAAAACAGGAGAACGATTATTGGGACGACTTTCCATTTTACTATTTTTTTTGTTGCGACTCCGCGATGCCGAGCGGTTCTTAGTTGAGGTACTGGCTGACATATTCCTTGCGGAAGTTGTTGCTGTCCAGCTCCGGAGCGCGGTTCAAGGGCGTCCACTTTGGCTCATCCTTGAAGAGTCTCATGGCATGCACGTACTGGATTTCCAAATGAGTCAGTTCACGCAGTCGTTGACTTTTGTTCAGTTCCAAAATCACTTATCAAATCAAGCAGTGAACAGCTCCTTGAGCAACAAGGCCACAACAGGAAAGAAAACTCACGTTGGACTCGTCCGTGGTGAAGCGGTGGAAGATGCCCGCGGGCAGGATGATGAGATCGTCCTTCTCCAGCTGGATGCGCACCCACTCGTCGCCCTTGTTGCGCACGTCAAAGTAGCCCTGGCCGCCGCGGATGTAGCGAATCTCCTCGTCCTCGTGCAGGTGCTCGTGGAAGAACATCTTGACCTTGTCCTCGTAGACGTCGCCCATCTTCTCGGGCGACACGACAATTTCGTCGCGGTTCCGGTACCCGCGCTCGGCGGCCAGGGCATCGACGTCGCTCGTCTCGGGGAAGCGGTAGTACAGTACGCCCAGGCCGGCCAGGTCCTCTGCCGTCACCTGGCGGCCCGAGTCGTGAGGCAGACGCTGGTCGCCCTGACGGTTTGCACGTTAGGACTTCTCAATTCGACTCTGACGCTGGTGCCGTCGGCATGCCGGCTGGTAGGGGGGCTTACCGGCAGGTTGTCGTACATGTATGCCTTCATCTTGAGCGGCTGCTGCTGCTTCGTCGTCTGCAGGACGCTGTGAGGGGCTGCGGGAGGTGAGGGAGCGGCGCCATGGCGAAGACGTGATGGCGAGCCTTGCTACTTATAGTGGTCCTGGAGGGACAACTTAAACAAAGACGGGGATCAATCAAGTGAGATGGAAATCCCAGCGCCCCACCCCGCCAAACGCCCCTCGACTACTAGCTAGAAGTATGAGTGAGAGCTTACTGTACGCCGTGATTGGAGCTTTGGCTTCGGCACGAGGTGGCTTACATGTAATTCGCACACCTCCCGTCCCGCCACTTGTCGGCGAAATGGCCGTGGTTTTCTGCCATCCATCTTGCTTCGTACAAAATGCCCGGTTTGCCATCCCGTTCCCTGATGTGACCGGCATCAACTCTTGACCCCACCAGCTCACGCTGTGAGAGCGACGAGAATAAGCCCTAGGGAGCTGCACGATTCACGCTGCTGATGCATTTCACAGGCCGGCGAGCGTCACCGGAGCAGATTCGGACAATTGAACAACTAATCATTTACATGCTCAAGGTCAGACAGGGGGGCGGATACAATAGAAGGCAGGGTGTGCGTGCCTCTCCGTTTCATTTGAGTGTGTGCATACGAGTACATCATGGAGGGGCATGACCAAAGAGCTTCCTACCATTGGTTCTGCTGCTGCTGGTCGACCTTGTGTACCTTGGCTTGCCTTGTCTTCTCTTGTATCTGATAACGTGGCAACGGTGCAAGCGGCATGTGCTTTTCTGCGATGCATCAATTGCGTCGTCTCTGTTGTTTTAATTGAGTAGTAGCTCGTACATATGCCAATGCTGTGCCTTGAACGAGCAATGTCTGTCTAATCCGCCAGTTCTACTGTACATACAATAGGCGCTGCATCTTCTCCAACTAATATTACCCCACGCCAGCCCTGTCAACAGCTCCCTGTCGCACTACATCATAGATCCACCAGCAGGACCTACTTCATGCCTCTCACCTACAGAGTCCCCAAACCTTCAATTAACACGGCACGGCAGTCGCTCAACGCAGCAATGAGGCATATCCCCGTCATCCGCTACTCCAGGAGGCTCCTCCTTGGGGGCATTGGAACCGGCGTCTGTTACGGGGCCTTTGTGGCCAGTTCTAATCCCGTTCGATTCGACTCGCGCCAAAAGTCGCCTTCAACGCCGGCGCAACTTGCAGACACATCGCGGGAACCACGACTCTCTCCTCGCATCATCCGGCAAGTATCTGCAGGCAGCATCATCGGTCAGTCAAGCAGGACATTCATCTACTCAAACGTGTTTGCAATTCCCAGTTAACCATGATCCCTCCTCTAGGATTCGGCACCGGACTTGTCGTTTCCATCTTCTCACGCACTCTTGTCTTCATCGGCGGAGTGTTGGCGGCTTGTTACCAGGTATGCGCATACGCCTGTCAGTTCTTACAAATTGTCCCTTCTTCTGACGTTTCTCGACTCAAACCAAGCTCGCCTCCTCGTACGGGCCAGGCCTGCCGAGCATTGTTTCTTCTCACAAGTTTCTCACGGACAATTTCCCTTTTCTAAAAGTTGGCACAGGCAATGGCTGGTTTGTAGCATCTTTCAGCTTGACCTTCATCTTAGCAGCGTTTGCCCGCCTCTAAGACAGGAAATGCATCTTTTTTGCCTTGTTTGTTTGTTTGTTTGTTTGTTTGTTTGGCTGCTTTTTTTTTTCCCAGGTGACTACTCTCTCATTCAATGGGCCGAGTCTCCCGTGTCAGCCATGCCATCGTGAGAGCATCACCCTCGAAGAATCCCTTGGTCTTCTCCAGTATCTCTGCGTTCGACGCGTTCAGCCAAGCCTTTTCAGCCTCCGAAAGCATGCTCTCGTTGATCAAGTTCCTGCAATAGGGGACCATGGTCACATGCTCAAATCCTAAGAATGGCTTGTCCCCAAAGGCATATTTCGTCTTCACCTCCTTAACCATGATGATGTTCTCGATTCGAATGCCGAAGCGGCCATCTTCATAGTAACCCGGCTCATTCGAGATGACGTTGCCGGGCGCCAAGGGGACCTCGGTGTACTGGATTCGGGTGCCGATGCCGATCGGGCCCTCATGGACGTTCAGGAAAGATCCAACGCCGTGGCCAGTGCCATGTCGGTAGTCCAAGCCGTTTTGCTGCTGCGGTTTAGCCGGGCGCACAAGCCTCAAGAGTCTTTTATCATAAACTCACCCAAAGATGTTGCCTGGCCAGGGAATCGAGAGCAAAGCCAGTCGTCCCCTTTGGGAAAACGGCCACGTCTAGGGCTATGTTTCCTTTCAGAACAAGCGTATAAGCTTCTCTCTCGGCCTCCGAGGGCTCTCCGAAATGCAACGTCCGTGTCGTATCCGTGGTGCCGTCCAAATACTGTGCTCCTGAATCGCACAAGTATATGGCCTTGGGGTCGATAGTAGCGCAATTTCCGCGCTCGGGGCCGTAGTGGATGACAGCCGCGCTGTGAACGCTCGTCAGTAACACCATACGCGGCCAAGACAGGCTGAAAGGGGGGCATGGGGGAGATTTAGGTAGTCAAAACGAACTTTGCACCAGTTGATGAAATGGTAGGGAATGACAATCCAACAAAGTGCTCATGCTTGGATCGCAGTTCTTCCAGTTTGTCGGCAGCCTGTACTTCGTCCAGCACAGTCTTTTTGTTGATGAGCTGGTCCTCAAGCCAGGCAAAGTACTCAATCAGGGCAGCGCCATCTCTGATATGGCACGCCCGCATTCCCTCCATTTCCGTCTCGTTTTTGATTGCTTTGGCATCTCCAATAGGGCTGCGGACCTCCTCGACTGCGCCCTCTCCTCCCAGTGCCCTCTTCAACGCCCAGGAGCCCCTGTTAGACATGAGGAAGCTGCCTGCTGCGCTCGCTGCTCCCTCCGCACTCTGGGTGGAGGCAACGAACTGCTGGTGAAGAAGTTCCGCATCGCGAAAGAAGCTGTCGTATGGTTTGATGGCCACATTGCACTTGTTCAAGTGCTCTCTGCACTCCTCGTCCAGCTTTGACTCGTCCACGTACAGAGCCGCTCCCTTTGGCGTGATCACGGCGTAAGAGAAGAAGACTGGGTTGTAAGGAATGTCGTTGCCGCGCAGGTTGAATAGCCACGCCACCTCATCAAGCATCGAAATGAACAGCCCGGGCGAGCGTTTCTTCTCAAGCTCGGAGAAGACGTCGGATAACTTGGCCTGAACGGACTTGCCGGCGAACTTCTCGGACAGCACAGTGATACGCTGCTGAGGTCGCGCAGGCCTGTCCTCGGCCCAGACGGCGTCTACCAGGTTGACGTCGAGGGGCACCAAGTCGGAGCCGCCGCTTTTGCGGATCTTCTCCGCGAGCTTTTTCGCTATGGAGGCCGTGATCAACGTCGAGTCCACGGCAACCTTCTTGCCCCCGGCCGACTGCTCAGCTGCCCACTCTTGCCATGTCGGGACGTCCTGAAGCCCTTGCTTGAGCAGCGTCCAGTTCTCGTCCAGCTGCTGAGTAGCCTGGTTGAAGTAGCGGCCGTCCGTCGCAAGCGCCGCAGCAGTTTCCGTGATGACTGCGCAACCAGCAGAGCCCGTGAAGCCGCTGATAAACTCTCGCCGAGCGTCGCATGCGGCAATGTACTCGGAGCTATGGCTGTCTTCCGAGGGCACGACTGTGGAGGCACAAACGTTAGTCGCGCGTTGCGAAGGGATAAGGTAGAACGGCGAGCTCCTATACCGTATACTTGGACGTTGTGCTCCTTCATCAGCGCCCTGAGCTTAGCAAGCTTCTGCGTTGTGTTTGCCCTCCCCATGGCTACGGTTGCGAGGCGGCTGATGAATTGACCAGGTAACTTCCGCGGGAATCTGAAGGCAAGGCTTGGAGCAGCTGCTACGAGAGGCCTATACATCGGTTGTGAGGGCGGCGTCGATCCTCACGCTTCGGAGACGACGACTGACTGCCGAGAGGGGTTGGCTTCTTGACCCCGCCAAATACCTGCCCACTGGGGAATTGTTCCACCTTTGCGAAGGAGGTTTCTACACTACAAGAGACACCCAACCTGGTGTATGACCGTGCAAGATATTACAATCTATATGGACGGTTGTGACGATGCATCATTCACGGGAAATTCTACGAGCGTCTGGTGGGGGAATTTGTCGCAACACGTAGAAGATGACTCCATTACAAAACATCCTTCATAAAGAGACAAAACACAAAAAAGGATTGCATCAAGAGGTCGCAAAAAAAAATGTTTAGCTTCTCTTTGATTGAGCGTGTCATCCTTAGTGCAGGGGCCATGCTAATCTTCTCTATTAAACTATTAGCGGATTCGAACAGACGACCTCTCGGGGTTCCGAAGATGAGCCGAAACATACCTGTATCGTTATAAATTGACCAAATGCCCGAAGGCGATAGACAGCCGTTTAATGTCACTTATATAGTACAGAGCGCAAATTTTACTTGCACGTGAACAGGCGCCTTAACTAGACAGCACCTTCCTTCGCAACTTAACAGTACCTTCCTTCGTAACTTAACAGTACCTTCTTTTATAACTTAATAGTACCTTCTTTTATAACTTAATAATACTTTCCTTTATAACTTAATAATACCTTCTTTTATAACTTAATAATACTTTTCTTTTTATAAATTAATAATACTTTCTTATATAACTTAATATAATAACTCTTAGCTATAATAATTATTTACTTATATTAATTAATTTTATTAAGTATTATAATTTATTATTATAAATTTTTATTAATATAATATTTTATTATAGACCTTAGTATAAAGAGGATATAAATATTAAATAAGCTTAATATAATATTATTAATAAGGGCTTATAGCTTTAGCCTAAAAGGATTATAGCTTTATAATATATTTATAAATATAAAAAAGTAAATAACCTATACCTTTATAAAAAGTTTAAAAATAAATATAATTAACCTTTAACTCTTATATTTAAAATTCCCTTTATATTTAATATAAAGTCTTATCCTAGTTAGTATAATTAAAGTTATACTTTATTAAGACCTTTTTATAATTTAAATTCTCTTTATTTTTTAATATTACTTATAAATATCTTTAATAAGTTTATCTTTCTTTTTTATAAAAAATAAAAACTATTAAAAAAAAATAATAAATATAAAAAATAATAAATATAATAAAATATAAATACTATAATCTTATAGCTTTAATTTACTAATTAAAAAAAATAATATAAGTTTATAATAACTTATAATTCTTAAATAAACTTTATAAGCTATAGTTTTTTATTATAGCTAACTTTATATCTTTTTAAAAAGAACTTAAAATAAGCTTAAAATAAAAGTAATTTTATAATAAAGTATAAGTAATATAATCTTAAAACTTTTAAGGTTATTAATAAAAAAGCTATAAAAGTAAGTAAAAGGATTAATTAAAGTATAAAAAAAGTAATAACTAGCTAACTTTATAAAAAAATCTAAATATAAAAAGAACTTATAATTAAACTTTACTATATTAAAAAAAAAGTAATAAATATTTAATAAAAAAATAAATTAATAATTTTATTTTTATAAAGATTTTACTTATAAAACCCTTTTTTATAAAAAAGAGTTAAAGTAAATATTAAGTATACTTTTAAAACCTTAATAACTACTTTAATATAGCCTTAATAGTATTTAATAATAATAAAAGTAAAATATACCTTATTATATTATACTTAAAGAATAAACTAATAATAAGTTAAATAAAGTTTTAATTTTTAAAATATAGTAATTAAAATAAAATTCTTTAAAAATAATATCTTATATATTATATAAATTACCTTTTTAATAAGATTATAAAAGTATATAAAGCTACTTATACCTTTATATAGCTATACTAATACTTTAATAAGTCTTTTAGTATATTTTTTTATTATTATAAAATTATTATAATAAAAATAGCTATTTAGCTATTAACTCTTTTTAAAATTAGCTTTATATTATTAATATAACTCTTTTAGCTTAAAAAACTAACTTTAATAATAACTTAAAATTTAAGTAATTAATTTTTAAAAGTAACTTTAAGTTATAAATTCTTTTTAAACCTTTACTTTTAAAAATATTAATAATAAATTAAAAAAGAAATAAGATAAAATAACTATATATAACCTTTTTTAAGTCTTTTTTTATATAAATATTATCTTAATATATAAATATATTAATAAGATTAAGCTTTTTAAAATAAAACTTAATTATAAAGTTATATAAAGTAAGTTTTTAAAATTAAAATACTTATTTTATTATAAGTTTTTTCTTATTTATAAAATAAATATAATTTAAATAATTAATAATAACTTAAAAAAAATAAAAAAAAAAAAAATAAAGTAATATTATTATATATAAAATACCTTAATAATAATAAGTATTTTTATATTTAAAATAATAAAAGATTACTTAAATAAGTTTAGTTTTTTTTAAAAAAAATATAATTAAATACTATTAGCTTTAAAAAAGTATTAAAAGAATTACTTTAATAATATATTTAAAAGTATTTAGTTTAATATAAATAAGTATTATAATATTAAAGTAAATAAAGATAAGTTATTTTTAAAATTTATTTTTAAATAATTAAAATACTTTTTACTTTTTTTATTAAGGTAAATAATTTTTTTTTATAATTAAATTAAT